GGGTTTTTGCTCTGAAACGCAGTCAGGAGGGCGATATTACAAAGTTTAAGGCGAGGATTGTGGCCCAAGGTTTCAAGCAGGTCCACGGACGGAATTTTAGTGAAACTTTTGCGCCAACACCAACTTTCGCATCGTTACGGTTGTTACTGGCGATGGCATCCCGCAACAAGTGGCCGGTGGCTTCGTTTGATGTCAAGAGTGCATTTCTTCATAGTGACATTGATCATGATGTGTATATTTGTCCACCACCCGGTGTTACAGTCCGTCCAGGTTGTGTTCTGAAGCTACGGAAGGCACTTTACGGCACCAGGCAGGCAGCTCGATGTTGGTGGATGCATTTGAAGACTCAACTTGAGAAGATTGGGTTTGTACCCAATCTGGAGGATCAATCAACTTACGTCTATTGTTCCGGAGAAGACCGGGCTTTCCTATGGGTACACGTGGACGACGGCCTTTTCACTGCCAGTTCCCCTTCCTTGCTAGATTCTCTCAAAACCAAACTTTCCTCAGTGCTGGACCTCAAGTGGGACCCGACTCTGGCCAGCATTGTTGGACTCCGTGTAAGGGAGGTGGATGGTGGTTTCAAAATTGACCAGCCGATGCTGGTTAAGAAAATCATTGATTTCCAACCTTCCACGATTTGCACCCGCACTCCCATTGCATCCACCGATCTCGTGTCAAATCTGTCTGATGGTTCAATGGATAAGGAATATTTATCCCGCATTGGTTATCTGCTTTATTTGGCTCAAGGTTCTAGACCCGACATCACGTTTGCTGTTCATTTTCTCGCGCGCTTCTCCATGAAACCAGACGAAAATCATTGGGCAGCTTTGAATCATCTTATTTCATATGTCTGCTACAGTGCTGGTCTGACTCTTCCTATAGTGGCGTCTAAGCCTTTTGAGACAGGTATTGAAACCTTTGTTGACGCCAACTGGGGTGGAGAGCTTTCCAGATCAGTTCATGGTTTTATTTCGACGGCTTGGGGCGCTCCAATTTCTTGGTCATCAAAACGGCAGACGTGTGTGGCTCGGTCAACTTGTCAGGCAGAATACATGGCTCTGTCTTTTGCTTCTAAGGATGCTTGTACTCTCTCGTCTGTGCTCTCAAGTTTTTATCACCTTCAACCACCTATGCTTTACTGCGACAACAAGGCGGCAGTACACATCAGTTCTGATTGCGGCACAAGGAAGGAGCACCGGCATGTGGATCGGGAATTTCATGTCATCAATGAGCTTTTATACTTTAAGAAGGTCCGATTGCAGTGGATTCCAACTGACCAACAACTAGCCGACATATTCACCAAAGCTCTTGGATGGCGTAAGGTGTCCGAATTTTTGGCGTCGGTAGGATTGCGCTCGCAATCCCATACCATGGCAAGTAAAGGGGGGATAGTATGCGCTAGCTGCGAGGAACATACGCCCCCCGCATCTGTTCGTCTCCCTCCGCAATTCTCATCCGGCACTGGTGGTTGATTGGTTCTTCAGAAGCTAACCAATAACTGGTTATATTTTACAGTCTTCGAGAGGATCTTTCCCGCTTTTGTGGTCAATAGTCTTTGTTGTTCAATATTGGGTTCCTTTATTTCTTTTTCTTTTTTATTCTATCTATTTTTCTTTTTCTTTATCTAATTTCTCATATATTTCTGTTAAGTTCAGTTTCTTTTCTTTTCTTTTTATTTATTCCTCTATCTCAAACTTCAACATTGTCTGCTTTCTTCTCATGTTTTTTCTCTTCATGGTTTTTCTTTTCTTTTTTCCTTTCTTGGTTGATGAGGGGGGGAGTGTTATGACAAAATATGCACTTATTTATATTTTTATATTTTCTCATGGTTTTATAGTTATTTTTCTCACACTTCTCTTACTTTATAGTCTACTATATACTTATTACTCATCAACCCAATTATGTACTTACAGTATAATATATAAACCTTCCTCTCTTGTCGAAATATATTTTTCCCTTGGGGGAGTTTTTCCATCTCATTCTCATTTTAGGATCCACAGCTCTACAAGGGAGACATGAAAGGATGTAAATACAAGCGCTATTTATAATAATTTTTGTGTGTATAAACAAAGGTGTAATAGAAATGATAGATATAAAACTTATTGCTATGTAACTGTTCTGTGACTGATCGTTGATCCGTTGATAAATAGTATCTATTGTGTTTTGAAAAAAGCTTGGATTTTTTCGCTTTTCTGAAATTCTGAAGTATGCACTTAGAATGCATATCACAAGTTTAATCCTGCTGTTTCTGCCTAACACAACAGCAGTGATATGATGTGATGACCGGTGATTGGCCATATCCTCAAACCAATCAACCAACCAGCTCCCATTGCCTCTTCCAACCGACACCATCCTCACCCCCATCCCCCCCCATCAACACCAACCACCAATGGTTTACCGCTTCCATGCCCCTGCAACCAAAATTGCTGTTGTCCGAATGGCCAAGCAAGGCCTTTCAATTTCGCCCATCCAGAATATGCTCGGTGTTCAGTTCTCGCCACAATCATTCCACCGATAGATCGAACTCTACGAAGAAACCCGCTGCGTCATCAGAGATCCAGATACTTATGAGGCCCGTGGACGACCTGCTAGCCTCACCCAAGATGAGGCTACTTTCATGATTGAGCTTGTTCGATCCGAGCCTGGCCTCTTCCTGGACGAAATCCGAGAGAAGTTGTATGATGCCTCTGGAGTCTTCCTCAGTATCTCAGGCGTTCACAGGACCCTTGTTGAGCAATTATCAATCACCTTGAAAAAGCCAGACACAAAGAATATCCGCAAGTCACTTACTGCTAAGTACAAATATGTTGAGCGCATGGAGTTCTTCCCAGCTGAATTCTTAGTCTTTACCGGTAAGTAGTTTTCTAAACATCACCTCAATCATTAACATCAGCTGATGCTTTTGTGTTTTTTGTTCATTCAGATGAAAGCTCTTTCACCGACAAGGATCTCCTGCGATCATTTGCAAGGTCAAAGAAAGGGACCCCCTCGGCAAGATTAATCACCAACCAGAACGCAGCAAGATTGAGCTTACTACCAGCCATCTCTCTTGATGGAATGTTGGCGCTCACCACTACTTTGGAGACCTTTGATGGTCCCAAGTTTGAGCACTTTTTGGAATTCGACTTGGTGAGTCGCTCATTTCATAACTCTTCCCGCTCTTTTTTGAACTGACCTTCTTCTCTCTAGCTTCCTCGAATGAATAGGTACCCCGATGTCAATTCAGTCCTTGTTTGCGACAACGCTACGGCTCACCAAGGTGACCGTGTCAGAGAGATGTGCAACAACGCTGGGGTACAACTCCTTTACCTTCCACCTTATTGCCCAGAATTGAACCCGATCGAGCTCTGCTTCGCTGCAATCAAGCAAAATTTACGGGACTCACAGATTTTGAATCGAACCAATGACCCAGAATGGGAGATCCGCCGGGTTGCAGCTGATATCATGACAGCGGAGTTGTGCTTAAAGCTCTACCGTCATTGTGGATACTGTGTCCCAGTGCACCGCTGATTAACAACTGGGATATTACTATTGACATCTTATCTCCCTCTTCCCTCACTGTAGAAGGCTCATCGCTGTCTTCCTGGATCAATTTCCCATCTCCCTCTTCCATCACTGTAGAAGGCTCATCGCTCATCTCCCTCTTCCATCACTGTAGAAGGCTCATCGCTGTCTTTTCCTGCATCAATTTCCTACTCTTCCCTCACTGTAAAACTCTCCCGAGTCCTTTACTGTTCATCACTATATTTGAATCGTTCACATGTTTTTTTATTGTTCCTGTTCAAAATTAATTGAATCGGTCACACAATTTCTGGTTGTTCCTGTTGATCATTACAAAATGCCTGTAGACACCTTTGAAGCCACCCGAGGCAATGAAACCTTGGCAAGATTGTAATCTAGTTTTGAAGGTATCAATTGGATAGAAGAACAAACAGATCGATCGTTGTACTGGCCATTGCACCAGCCATCAGAGGGTCTCCTTGATGACAGGACTGATTGGTGCTGGTGGTGGAGGCTCGGTTGACCCGGTTGACCATCCCACTTGATCAAACCACGTTGATTGTCCCAGTCCAACTGTTTGACCTGCTGTAACTCTGACTCGGCATCCTCGCCAAGGAGTTGGAGTTCCTCAACCTCCTCTTGCCTTTTGGAGCTTGGCTTTCATCTCGCTCTTTTTCAAACTTGTTCTGGCTCTCTTTCAGTTTGTCAATCTTGTTCAAGAGCTGGGAGATGAGATGGAAGTCTTGAAGACCGATGTAATCTAGTTTTGAAGGTATAGATCAGATAGAAGAACAGATCGACCGTCTTACTGGCCATCGAATCAGCCATCATTGGTTTCTGACCAAAAATCAAAACATTCAAGGCGATTTCGAACGATTGCAGGCATTGTATGAAGATGCCAAGCATTTGCTTCAAACAACAATCAAGCCTGGCCAGAGGCTGAAGCAAACTCGTTTCATCAAGAGTTGTGTCGGTGACACCGGCTTAACGAGCTATCACACCAATCATCGGCTTAACGAGCTATCACACCGATCATCAAGGCACAGACCAATTACTGGCTGTTGAGTTTTTTTGTGTTGTCTTTGAGATCTCGGTTGAGCAGATGGATCTCAAAACAGATGCTATGCAGATGAGATTGCTGAACAAATTGATCCGGATCAGAGAGGAGACTAGAATGAGAGAGATGGATAGAGATACATAAGGATAATTGAACTAATATTGAAGACAAATCTCTGTATAAAACATCTTCATCTTTAAGTGAGACAAACTTACAGATGCTGATAAGTGGTGTGCCAGAAAAGAAAGTGCAAGTGCAAGAAGATGAAGAAAAGAAAGTGACAATGCGAGCAGATGATAAGGAAATGAAAAGGGGAAATATTGAGCTATGCAAGCAGATTATAAGAAATGAAAAGAGAACATATTGAGATGTAAAATGTGAATGCGAGCCGACGATAAGACATGAAAAGGGAAAATATGGAAGATATCGAATGATTGAGCTATTGAGGAGCCGGACGCTTCTCAAATTTCTTCGTGTTGTCTCTCAATTGTGCAATGATGCCAGGGGTTAAGCCCCAATGGCTCATATCCTCTCGAGTGATGCTGTCCGATTGAAAGAACTTTGGATTGGTAACATCTTTCTCAGTGAGGATTCTGAGGACTTCCTCTTTCTTATTTGGTTTGACTTTGACAAAGTCAATGTACTTTTCCATTAGGTTTTCATCTGGTTCTGCTACGGAGGAGTTGTCCGATTCCTCGGCGGGGGATGAACGTTGGTATGGTGGAGGACCAGAATTGTCGACAGGGTGAGATAGCTTTCTCTTCTTGTAAGCTGACAGTTTTTTGAACTTCAGCGCCAGTGGGGGTGAATGGAGAGAAACTCCAGCCTCTGATGCCATCTGAAGTAATGCAAATCAGTTTTTTGTTTGGTTTGATGTCACATTCTGTTCATAAAAGGGCACTCACAATGGCATTCGCCCAAATTTGAACATTCTTTCCAGTCAAGGGGATGTACTGGCTAGATTCTGTCGGATGGATGAAGACCGGGATCCTATCATGGTACTTGATGTTTGGTGGGTGTAAGGAGTAAATCTTATCCGTCAAAACATTGATTGCCTTGAAATCCGCGGCCTTGTGTACACGTTGATCACCAGTTGCCAACGAAGTCCCAGCTTCCTGGGCCGCGCGTTGAGTTAAAACATGGGCTTTGATATCAACAGCCACCTTAGCTTCTTTTGCTACTGCAGTCGGATTGTCCATCTGGATGGAGAGACCGGCGTGAGTGTGATCCGTGTTGAGATCCTTCATAGTATTAATCCAATGATCATAGGTTTGTTTGTTGTTTACAGTATAATTGAGGACCTTTTTGAATTCCGGTGCCAACTTGAGAGCCAATGAAACCTGCCAGTCAATGTGGGGAGATCCAGAGGCAACCGCGTTGTTGATGAGTGCACCAGTATTGTCCCTAATCTTGTTTGCCTCGGTGGCAACAAGGCTGCAAAAATCCTTTAGGCTTAAAGATCCTATCTCGAAGGTTATTGGAAAAACCTTCTTTGATTTCACGGTGTTACACCCTGGCTTGTCCTGTTTGGGGCAGTACAGCAAGAATGAAGTGCTGCAATGCACCATCTGGGGCTGCAGAATTAATAAGAAGATTTAGTAGGAGTTGCACTTCAATACAAACTGGCCTTGGATATAAATCACTCACAGTAAGATTTGCCGGTTGAGGGCCAATGCCGTGGATGCGGTAGTTCTCTGAAGCGGAGTGGTATCCCATTCCTGGTGGTGGATTCTCCCTTGCAAAAAGGTCAATACCGAAGTGTGACATATTGTGACTCGTGAGTTGGATTGTTTGTTGGGGTTGTATATGAAGATTGGTCTGGAGTGGTTTGGAGTGAGCGGTTGATCATAATTCAACATTACAGTGCTGTCATAACCAATGATGACATCATATATTTTTGATGCCATAATATATAATTAAATTTCATTTAAAAATCCGGATTTTTGTGATTTTGAGTCCAAGGTTACTTCAAAACACAATAAAGAAACAAAGGAAGGAAATTCTAAATCTAGATCCTACATCGATAGAGTATCTAAATATAAAATAAAATTTTCGATTTTGTTTCACAGAGTTTCTGGGTTGAGTTTGACATGACATGCATTTTTTACCCCCTGATGGATCTGCCAAGTTCACAGCTTCTCCATGTCACGTATTTGTGTGTGTGACACCTATGAGACAATAAAAAGCTGATCGATCGGCACCCACATACTATTACGACAGCATACAACCCAAATTTTCAAGATGCCCAGAACGCCAACTCTAGAACACGTTTATTTTACAGGAGATCGGAAGGAATTCGACCGATTTATCTATCACATCAAGGATGCTCTTAGTGAGGGTTTTGACGTCAATTATGGCAATGGTTCAGAGAAAATGCAAATCAACTGGATCGCTCGTCATTTCAGATACCCTAACGGCCAAAACTCTATGGAAGAAGGTCCGCTCTCGTACAACTGGTGGATCGGCCTGTTGGAAAAGAACGCCCGAGTGCAGAACCTGCCCATCAGCCATGCGGTCTCACCAGCGGATAATTACAAAATACCCGAGTTAGCAACCAAGAAGGCATTCCTAGAGCATCTACACGAAGCCTTTGGATCTCCAGATGCACGCGAGGTGACGAGAAAAGCTTTGTACGCCTGTAAACAAGGTGACCAGGATATCCAGCAGTTCAACCTAGTCTTCAACACGTTAGTCTATGCCGTCGATCTGACCGAAAACGAAAGGTGTGATGTCTACGAGGAACGTCTCGATGTCGACTTACTGACAACTGCCATCAAGCATACCGGGTGGCGAAACGCGAAAACGTTGCATGACAAGCAAGCCCTGGCAAGATCTGCTGCTTTCATTCTACACAAGCTAGCTCAACTCGATCTCGAAAAGCAAAATGCTGACAACCGAGACAATCAACAACCAAACATTCTCCAGCATGCAAATCGACAACCGCTGCCTGAGTAATCTTTGAATTATCACTACCAATTATAGCACCGTTTTTAGCGCGTAAGTTATTCAAGTCTCCCTGCCTGGTTATTTATTTTCTAATCTTAGAATAGCTTGTGAGGATACATTGATTTCCACAACATTTCGTCTTCTTCCATTGGATCATTATGCTTATTGTGCCCTCCGTTTCAATGTTTACTGACTAATCATGGTTTGTATTCCTGTAGTTGGAGTCCACTAATTCTCAAAATAGGCTTATCCGACTCACATCCACCGTCCACCGATTGGTGAAATCTTTAATCGATTGCTGCTTGGCCCGGACATTTCATCCCCACATTAGATACCACATTCATGTTATTTGCTTCAGACGTCTGATTCTCATATTCTAGGTCGAGCCACATGAAATGTCTCGCCCGAAGTCACACAACGCGTCCTGTTAATGCTATTCTTCTGGTGCTATTATTTGTCATGATTTATGTTTTATGAGTGAGATTGTGTCTCCTTTGTTTCCTTCACTAAGCTGCCAATTACCACAAATATGATCCTTTTAGGCATCGCCTATCTCAACTTCTTCAAAAATTATCTTAGTTGTCAACCCTCTCTTTACAATTATAAATCACAAGAAAGAAAGCTAAAAACAATGAGAAACTCGATCTCAAAGCAATCTGTCCTAGTGAAGTTCGAATCCAAAAATACAGTCCAGGATCATGCAGGATTAGAAAACAGGTTAAGGAAGACCAGAAATCTGATGACAGATTGGATCATAAGCTGAGTTCTGCGTAGAGGTCCCAGATCATGTGACTTCATGGCCAAGGGCCTTGGCAGTAGGACCTTGAGAAAATGCGTGATATCAGTTGCTTCTGGGCAGACTCCTTGGCTACGAAAAAGCCATACCCAAACCTCTCAGTATTTCTACCCATAAAAAGCTTACATGGCTCTGAGAAGCTCAAACTTTGGAAGCTCAAGTTATACTTGAAGCTCGAGTTTCAAACGCCTTTGCTCAAGGGACCACTGAACTTTGTTTTGTAGAGGCCGTCATTCAACTTGAACATTTCTATTGTCAGCATCGGAACAATTCTTCTTATACAAGATCTATAATCATATATGACTCCGCTACACAAAAGGATAGAGAAATCATAATGAATAGTGGGGGAAAGAGAGAGAGAGAGAGAGAGAATAAAACAAAACATTTGTCAAGTCGTCAAGGGTGGAAATTTGAAAACAGGCACTCATTTCATGTGTCTTTCAGTAGCTTTCAGTATATATATAATATTGATGAGATAAGATGTGAGCTCATTTTCCACCAAGTCCCCATAATTCTCGAGCCACAACCATGAGTCGTTGAAACTGAGTGAGAAAGATCCGATCTCCATTCCATTTATGGCCACGACTGAACTCCTTTTCGCCCCAACTGGTGATAATTTTTGATCGGGATTGCTTCTCGCAATGTCCGATTGCCTGGACTGCGCAGTCATTGGTAGCGGTTTTGAGATCGTTGTACGGTGGGCTTTGATGGTCGTTGTGAGATACGCCTGGGCTTGCAGCTTGAAATCTAGATCTTATTTTTTCTCCAATTTCAATGTAAACTCTTGTAGCAGCTCTGATTCCGGGTCGGAACGCGAGCGGCAATCGTTCGATGGCTTGTTTGCTTCGAGCTTGGTACTGATTGGCGATCTCTAACAACTTCCCGGCTACGATCTCATACGGGAAGGTTTCAAGTCCGGTCTGATTTTTCAAATTCTCCCAATCGGTTAATCGTAATCCATCGACTTGGCCTTCAAACCAAACCTTGGGTACGTATATTCTGCCAATTTTCGCGTCTTCCTTCACGTCACGCGCAATGTTGATGAGTTGGAGGGCACAACCCATCTCGTTAGCGGCGCGAAGAATCGACTGCCGTTCGATTTCATTTTCCGAAGCTCCGTAGACCCACCACATGATTGAAACACACATTTCACCAACCGAGCCTGCCACCCATCGCGAGTACTGCATCAAGTCATCTTCATTTTTTATCTCCTTATTGACAAACTCGATCGAATCGTATTCATACCCGCTTATCAACTCGTCAAAAGGTTCTCGTCTTAAAATCTTGCGCATTGTTGAAAATATTAAAAATGTAGGGCGGGATTTCTCGGGTACCTTGGCGATGACAAATTCCTCAAGTCTTGATTGAAATTCGATTTCTTTCGAACCCAAATCAGTATCTGGGGGGAAGAGTCCGGGATTAGACCGAACGTCCTTGGCATCTTTGTGATCGGTAGGCCATAGTAAGTCTAAAAATTCCTTGCACATTTCGACCACTTTTCTAGCTTCCTGTTTGTCAACTGCGTGGTCGATCAAATCGTCTGTCTCGCGGCAAAACCCATAAAGAATCACGAATTTCGAGCGAATTGCACAAAAGTTGGGGAAGATGAAACTGGCAGAGTAAAAGCTTTTACTGGCAACGCTTAAGACTTCCAAAGTACGATTGAGTTGTTGAATCCTTTCGGAAGAAGCCGGAGTGAATTTACTTATTCTTGCCTCTAGTCGAGTGCCCATATTGATAGCCTGAATCAAATCTTGGAATTGAGACCAAAAGCTAATTGGGGCATTTCCAGAATACGCGCTTTTGGATGAGTGGCTTGAAGAAATGGATGATCGACGATATAACTCAGGCCAGGTGTCCGCGATGGCATCGAATTTTTCAATCGCCGCTAGTCCAAGCACCAGAAGAACGTTGGTGATTCCAAAGAATGTAAATTCCTCAAGGGGCAAATCGGGAGCAACAAATATTCCGGTGCTGGTGATTGGTGAGATGAACCAGGTGCCGTTCCGGATGGCTATGATGTCGGTAAAGCTAAGATAGATCGTGGGGATTATAATAGAGATCATGATAGAATACGGTCGCCGAATCACGTGATCGCCTCCGAGGGCCCAGAGGCCACCACAAATTGGTGAGGCCCAAAAACCAGTCGCGGTAAGATAAAACAGCCTATGCCCTGGCTGGCATAAAAGCCAAGAGACAATGGACACCGTTAAAAACCCAATGCTTGGGCCCCAACGCAAGAGCTTCCAAACGGTCGGTGACCGATGCTCAAGATCATTCGGTCCTGGAAGAATGTAGAGTGCTGGAATAATTGGGATCGTGAACAAAGTGTAAATATATCTATTTATTTTGATCGAACGGGGTTTGTATATGGAGACCAAAAGTTGAGCATAGTAAAAGATTAATTGGTTAATTAGTAAGAAAAATGTAATCTCCACGATAGAAATATCATGAACTCAATCACTTACGTCGCAAAGAAAGTCTGAATAATGAAGAAGAAGATCTCCTCAATAGGCACTTCGAACAACGTGAACAAGACCGACCAATCAGGATAACCCCAAGCCTTAGAATGAAAATAACGAAGGGCAAAGGTCAGACCATTATATACGAACTTAAAGTGATCAAAACGTAGATACAAATTATCTTTTTTCATATCTTTCATCATGATAACAATTGAAAAATCAAACTTTACTTTGTTTTTTATGATGTAACTATCCCATGGAAGCGTGTAGAATACAGCCATTGTAACTAAAAATGTCAAGCGGAACGTGTCCCTGGAAGACAACATCGGCCTCAAGACCAAATGGAGCAAAATCGTAGGCGGTAGCGTAAAAATGAGATGGCTGTTTGCGGTTTTTCCGAAGTGATCCAATCAACAAAAGAAAAGAAAGGCAGAATGTAAAACCACAAAGGGAGAGGAAAAATAGAGAAGCGTCAAATTAAAATTGGGTTCGACGGCTTTTTCATGATAATGAATCCTTTCCACTCACAATAACCAATAAGTCAGCAACATCGCGGAAGGGATACGGGCGGTGAGATGTCAGAGAAGAGACTGTTTAATATTTATTGGCCAAGGATGGTTCGGAGATTCTGGATTGCTGAAGGAAAAAAATGAAGATATCAATTAGATTGAGGAAACAGCTACTTCCGCCAAGTGTTGGGGGGACAAAATATTGAGAAGTAATAATACAACACCTACAAACTGGCAGGAGTGGTACACACAGAGATAGAAGATATGTAGATCGCTGTTACCCTTTTTCTACGATCCTCAAGGCAGTTTTATATTACTATCGAGGCCAGGGGAGAGATGAGTTTCTCAAACTTCTTCAGTAAGGGAACACCAGTAAGACAGGCTAGCGGTATCTAGGGATCAATTCTTTTGAGCCTGGCTTGGCTCAGCTAAATCTGGGAGAATAAAAGTCAAACTCCGCAGGGTTGGTCCCATGAAACAGCACCGAATGGTCAGGTATAAATGCCACATTTCAGAGCTTCTAAAAAAGCAGATAACGATGTACGCTTTATCCCGCGCACATGTCCCCGCCCATCGAGATCTGTGTAGTGAAATGGGTTTTCGGAATGTGCGCTCGACATGCAATAATTTATTTATGTCTCGTCAACCGCAAATAGTCAGCATGATGTATCCACAAGTTACAATCTTAAGACCAGCCGACGTTTTGGCGAGGATAAGTTGGGAGAGAATAGCCATCATGTTTCCTTCTACACAGAACAAACAAATTTGTAGATAATAATATTCATGTGTTGCTATCGCAAGGTAGTACAAACCTGACACTCTGGGACACTTTGATAAGGGTACATATCGTATGTACGTACTTGGAGTCTTGGAGTACTTGGATGAATACACATCACACATGCACGGCGTGAAGGGCACATAAACATGCAAATAATAAGGATTGTATGACGATCGTCGATTAGGATCGATTCGGTTCGATGGCCATGACTCAAGTAAATACATGTGCGGATTTTGATAAGTTAACGGCGATGCACCAAACTTAGAGTTATATCCTCAAGTGATTAATCATGTCAGTACGTATCCCTTCAGCATTATTTTGGTGAAGGGTCAGTGATTGCGCATTCCATTCGCGACGGAGATGATGAGACTGCAGGCCTTCCAGGCAAACTTGACAGGGTTTGCAGGATTAGTAACAACTGCCCGCTGGTGCATCGTCCACGCAAGACGGCGGAAGACAGGGTTGTGGCTCGACGACGTGCGGAGTGCCCTGATGATCGTCGATTAATCCCGGCGCAGATCTGAGCTTCTCAATTTCTACCTCTTGGACACAAGTGGAAAGATCGCCTCTATGCAGTCTTACATAAAGTTCAGACCATAAATGCACTTTTGGAATCATTATCATGGTAAGGATTGTGGGATGTAACTGTATCTGGAACATTTGAAGTTTTGGAGTCAGCAGCAAGTCGTGTGGAAGCCTGAGACTCTTCATGATGCGCAGAGCCACTTGTTAGAATGAGTACACCACATTTTCTGGTGAAACAAGTGCAAATATCAAGATTGTGCTGACCCAACCTTCAACGCACCAGCAAAGTCCCTTGAGTAGATTTTTTGTCATCACCTTTGAGAAAGTGCGCACTGATGGGCTACCAAGGAAGCGGGCTCATGACTACTGAAATGATGGTGCATGAGACATTTCCTGGCTCAATTATCAATTTGTGGAGGCCATTCCAGCATGAAATAAGGGATGTCACTTGCTGACAGGTGCCATCATGAGGCTCACAGCCAACCTCTGACCAGGTTCAGGGTAAGCACAAGGTCAGTTTCCACTGCACAGTGACTGTACATTATGCACAATGGATGACTTCCCGTCGAAATCCAGAACCCTCCCAGAATCCAATTTACACCCCCTAGATCTTAATTTTTGGCCCAATAAAATATTTTTTACAAGCCTTGTAGAAACTAGTCTCATGTGAGATGGTTGAAATTACAAGAGGGGTGTTAATTTAGGACTTGGGAGGGCTTAAAAAGCACTCTAAATGGTGACGGGAAGTCCTCCAATTAATCTGCAAAAATGTACTGGCTTAACAATGGGGTGGCCTGTGTAGCAGCTCACCAATCCTAGTTTGGATCCAATTAGATTATTCAATATTAATCCACATGCTTGTGTGACTCATGGGTTTGTTTTATTTTTCAGGAAACTATACAGATGTATTGATAGTCCAACAGAAGTTGCAAATCTGAGCCTGTGGAGCAGGGATGGACTGCCAGGCTACACTATGCTAAACGGTCCACTAATGTTAGCTTAGAATAGCGGCCATCAAAACAGGTGTTATTGAATCATTCAGGGCACCTTGCATGATTTGACATCAGAATTTCAAAAACAAAATGCTGTTACAATTTACACCAGACCTGGGAAGTACTGGTTACTTGTAGAAAAATAGTGGGAACAGCAATGACAGGTAGTTACTTGACTCTGATTCCCTTATATATTCTAAATTAAAATAACTGGCCATTTGTGTATATGGGAAGCATGTTCTATCTGCTGCCCCCCCCCCAATGAGCTCAAAATCATACCACAGCCTTCTTCAAAAAATTTATTTTATTTCTTGGAGGACCTTGTTGATTAACTTAAGTGATCTCATCAACATACTCTTTTATGGATTTGTCCAAAAAGATTATCAGAGAAATTCCAGTTGAAGAAATTTGGCATCATCTCGTGACAGAAATACACTCTGAGTGGAGAAGCAGTTAGCAGATGAGTGCATGAAATGTGACATCACAAAACAGTTCTCAGTCAACTACCTGTTCTGATTATGGAAATGTTGGATATTAGCGTCTACAATCAGTCCAAATATACAAAGCCATATCCAATTTGGCAACCACTCTTTGGTCACTTCACTTGCAAGTCAAATACCAAATTTTCAATTCACAATCTGTTTCCTTTCTTTATCAAATACAAAAACTGAAGAAACAAAAACATCAAGTTACTCAACTCAACTCTTTCTCGCTGGGCAATAGTGGTGGAAAACTAACAGTTATTCTTTCTCTTTTTTCTTGTAGACTTGTATGTTTCTTCTATTTTATTATTTAGTTGCCTTGCTTGACTCTTTTTCTTTGTTGTACCATCTTCAAATTCACCAAGAAAATTGTTGAATCAATGAGTTACTTAGCCCTGTTTAGCTGCTTTGCTATCAATTAATCTAAATCACACCAATTTTTGATTGTTTCTCTTCATGCTTCTCTTCTGTCAGACTCTCTTATCTTGATTCAATTTTTTTTTCTTTGGGTAGATCTACTCCAGGAATGATTCAATTCTTTAGGTCCTTGTAAAGGCCCCTTCAAATATTCTAGGAAACCCATGCTAGGAGGTGAGGCTCCTGAATGAATTGTCTCAAGTAATAGGAGCCTTGTCAGAGTTTTAACCTCTTATATGTTTACCTCTGAATGCTATAAGGAAAATAAATGAGTACTTCACTTGATATGTTACAGATAAAAATGATACTACATATTACAAGGAGTATTGGGAAGAATTACAAAATATAAGAAGAAGACAATAAGGCTGATTGAAAGAATAAGAGGAAAGGTGAGACAGAAAGATGAAGGTTGAGATCTATAAGTATAAACCCCAGTAAACCTACTCAGACACTTGTCTGAATACAGTACATAGATTTGGTATTTGATTCAATTCTTTGTTCCTTTTTCATCTTGTTTTGAATCAGAATATTAGAGGATGTTCTTGTCATGAATCATCTCTTTATATATCTAAACAATGCTGTAACTGCTCTGATCCCCAGATAAAATTGCCTCCAATACAAGGTATCAGAATTGACACCATTGCCAATCCAATCCCCATTTATTGGATGATTGGGATTGGATGGAGAAATCCAATCTGAAGTGTGTGGGAACTCAGGATTGGTATATTTGCTCTAGCTGATTGGATATTGTACCAATAAGGGATCTGGGGGATCAATCCTCCCTGTGGATTATGGATATCCATTAGGATACTCATGGATATCCAGGGGATATTCATGAATATCCAGTATAAGATTGGTAGGGCAATCCAATCCCCTACTTTTCAATACATGGGATCAAATAAGCAATCCAATCCAGTAAATTGGCCAATACCTTATTGGATTGGATTGGTTACAGTGTTGGTTCTAGCAGGAGGGACAGTGATCTACAGACCCCTTTTCATACATTACAAGTCTTTAGGAGGCTTTACAGCCTCAAGCAGATTGAGGCCATAGACAAATCTATGATCACTCTTCAACCTGTCAAAAGGCTACAAAATCACTTCAGAATTTAGCTTGGGGAGCTACAACTGGATGTTCTAAATGTTTCTCATAAGCTAATCTACATATAACTAAAAAAATAGGCTTAGAGAGCCAAACAAATTGTCATGCAATCTAACGCCGGTGTCAACCTCCAATTCACATTTGTTGGATTTGTTGACGCCGGCGTTAGACCGAGGCAGACAGGTGTCCAACTCAAGAAAACTCCATAGGTCATCAAGTAAAACCCCCCACATCTGGGGCAAAAACAAGCAGCCTCCCCAAATTTGGGGGCATATACTAGTTAATCTATAACAATGATGGGCTGATACCTATTTGGATATCCATAAAGCATTTTAAAGTAAGAATTTTCAATCACTTTTCCTCACTAGTGCTATCAAAATCCTACATATTTTCAAGAAGAATAACATTGAGGGCTCAAAAAAAAGCCCTTGACAACAGGAGATACAGGTAGTATCTTAATGATACAGCCCATATTAATCTGTAAAGCATTGTAAAGTAGTGAAAAAATTGTCACCCTTTTGATGAAAATAACAAAAACATGAAAAAGGGGTGCAATGTGTTACACAAAAGGGCTGAAAAATCATATGTATTGTAACAAATTGGCCATTTCATCCTCATTTTCCAAAGTCTAAATCACATTGCCTACCCCACTACATAGCTAAATTCTAACTATCCATTCTGTAACTTTATGTGACCTCTATGTCCATTGAAAGTGATTGTTTCACTAGTGCTTGGGACTGGTGTTGCTTAGAGATAGTCATTCTGGACCCTGGTACCAAGTGGTACCCAGGTACCCCCCCAAATTTGGGGCAAAATCAGGTACCTAGTACCGCACCTGGCACCTCCTGGGCGGTGCCACAGGTACCTCTGGCAGGTACCACAGGTACCACCTTGACTCTTGGTTTGCTTGTGGGTGTGAGTCTCGGGAGCCATGGTTGTCAACTATGTCATCAGTTGAGTGCTGTGGGCAGCTCAAGGGGACCAGGACAATATTCATCAGGGATATTGATATATACATATCATTCACATGTCACATTCTACCTTCCTGCAGGCCCTGAATCTCCTGGGGGGGTGAGCGGTACCAGGGTACCACACCGCTTTCTGGCCAAATTCAAGTACCTAGTACTGCACCCAGCACCTCTGCACGGGTGCAAGACAGGTGTGAGGGGTACCTGCCAAGCGGTACTAGGTACCTGCCACGGGTACCGAATGACTATCTCTAGTGTTGCTGAGGACTAGATACCCAAGACATCAACCAGAGTAAGCTCTGGCCATAATTCTCCCTGCTCCTTTTTTTTCCTGTAAGGGCAGCAAACAAAGATTTCTCTCTCAAGTGGACATAGGATGACACCCCTATAATTCCATTCTTGGAATTTTACCCACAAAGGGGACTCGACAAAACGCTGTGTCGCGCGACAGACCACTTCAATCGGGGGCAGCGAAAGGCACGCAAGTTCACGACGAACTCAAGAAGCTTAGTGGTCACAACGGCCCTTTTACGGGATGGTTTTTTTATTTGATTAAATTCACTAGCAAATGATGGTTAAAATACTCGACATGTGATGAATCTTACTGGCTCTAACTTAGCGATGAGAAGAACCGGAGGCTCAAGACGGTGGCGGATATGGGAATGGTCCGCCGAGCCCAGAGATCGGGTGGAGGGTTTCTCCAGGTCGAGGATAGACCGGTATGATTCCGAACTGGGGTTGCATTGGTGGCATCATCGGCATACTGGGTTGAGGTGGCCGGCCGAAAAGGTAATCTACGACTGAGTCTTGGATGCGAGGTGGCGAGTCTGGCACACTGTATACGTATGACCCTTGTCCGATTTGACCATGATATTGCAGCCCGTGTGGGTACTCAGGATTCCCGTAAGATCCCGAGCCGTGTGATGGCCCGTATGATCCCGAGTCGTGATGTGGGGGCGAATAAGCTTGTGAGGCGTATTCTGATGGCAAATAAGGTTGCCCGCCGTAAGGTGGTGACGGATAATAAGATCCCGATCCGGAATGCGATTGCTCGAATCCAGAGCTGTCATAGGGGTGCGCGAATCCAGAGCCGAAATGTGGGTATGGGAAAGATCCATACCCGCCAGCAGACATCCCAGGAATCTCATCTTGAGTTTCACGAGCTCGAGCGGCGGGTGGCGGTTGGGGAGCATCCCCATTGGGTAAACGTCCGCAAATTGGACAACTCGCATCTGGTCTACTCTTCAGGTAAGAGGTCTTGCACCATTTGTGAAATACGTGTGCACAAGGCCACGTATCCAACTCAGTAGCTCCAGGTTGCTCGATATTCTTACTGGAACGTGAGCGACCGAAACTTCCAAGCTTGACGCCGAAAACCTTTTTCGTCTTTTCTGGTGGAGGCGGGTTAGGGTTATATTCGCTCGGTGCCGGCCCTCGTAGCGCTGCTGTGCAGATCGAACATTCTTCCTCTGCCTGCTCGGGGAGCTGACGCGATTCATGAATTGAGAAGGAACAGGTAGGCCGTGAGTGCTTTTCCCCTGACAGTAAATATAGGATCATCGCTTACTTCACGTTTGGAGTGCTGATGAAGCGTATTTGATCCGGCCGGGGGCGGCCAAACAGGACTCGAAGAAACCGTTTGGGTAGACGCAGATATCGCGTTCGAGTTCGTCGCCTGTTTGACTCCATCTAATTCGCCTGCACGATCATGAACAACTGGTCTGGCAGTCGATTGATACGCTGCTTGCAAGAGCTTCCGATGACAGAAAAAAAAACGAACGATGTATTAGATTGGTAGGGTTCCCTTCATGGGTGTGATAAGCAAAAAAAAGGGAAAATGCTTCACAAGGATAGAGATTAGATTGATGAACATTGCAATCTATCACGAAGATTTCCAGAGACTCCGGTTGGAAGAATCGGAGTAAAGCCGAGATGGCCGACCGACCGAGGGCTACATGATGGCTACTTATAGTCACCGAGAATGCTTTCAGGAACTGGCTGTAAAACACGTCAGAGGAAACTGACACTAGCGTTGCTCTTCTGAACAACGGCTGAGCAGAGGGTCGTTCGACCTGGCCACGGGACAAGCGCAATATGCTATACCACCGTGAGCGTCTGGTCTCAGAATCAGGCGGGTGAAACCCGGCCAGGCGCCTCTCGCCGGGCTCGCCTCCAAAAGAAGCAGGAATCACCTTCCAGATCCAATACAATCCCGGGAGGAATCTTCGAGATGGTCCTTGCTGGTTGACGGACGCGACGCGGGGAATACACATAGTCGGCTCAGATATGTACACTGAAGATGTGTCGCACGATCAGTTCCAAGCTAGTTCGGACCCCAGCTCCTACATAGAGCTCGATACAGATCCGCGCCCGTCTACTCTTTTTTGGCTCTCCCGGCGGGGGCTAGATATTCGGCGAGTAGCTCAAACCGGCCCAAGGCCCTGTCTGGGCACGTATCACGCTAGGACCCTGTCACGCTGTGCTCACCCGGAGTAGCCGACCAGGGCTGAGCTGAGCCTGTGGGTCTCTGATTTTATCTTGTGTTGGGGGGCCCGAAGAGGAGCTAGTTTCTGTTTCGCAAGCCAAACCAGCGAACCATGTGGTCCTACTTTTTTTGAAACTACCTTAATAACGAAACGAAGCACATGTAGGGGGAAATATACAAAACGGCAGGTTTGATTACTAACTCATACATCTTACTAACACGCTTGTTATGTATTCTCCCCACTTCCATTGCCACGACGTCGGACGACCCCACAAATGGTTTTCCCTTTTGTGATCAGTCACAGTCGTCCTCATTTTTTTTTTTTTCAGTTCTTCTATACGATGTACAATTTTACAAACGCAACGGAAGAGAAGATGAACCAACTAATGAGCCAACTTAACTGGCGTCCCCTCCGAATAAAGAGGGACTTAGTTAAATTAGCAAATGAGCTACCCCAAAGATTTGTAATCAAACGTTTATATGTATCTATATGCCATGCCAAAAAAAGAAATCATCAAACCAAAAGAAAAACTGTGTGTGTGTGTGTATATATGTTCGAGTGTGGCAAAAGAAAAAAAAACCAAGAGTTTTTGTTTGTATCTTCTTCATTTTCTTCTTCATAAATATAATCAAAAAAAAAAAATAAGAAAAAAAAAAGAGAAAACAAAATCCAAAAAAAAGGAGATATGTAGATAGACAGCAAAAAAAGAACAAATGGGCAAAAAAAAAAAAATGAATCAATTGAACAAAAAGAAAAGAAAACAAAGAAAACATCATTGATCATTCATGAATCGTAAAAAAGGAAGGAAGAGGAAAGAAAGAACCGAGACAAAACAATCTGATTAAAGAAGAGACGAGGAGAGAGCTAGGAGGGGGGGGGGGGTATGGAGAAAGAGATGACATTCATAAGGATTTTTCAAGACATGTTCTGGTCAGGTGCAGGATTAGCTGCGGTCTCAGTAGAATCACCCTCAGCAAGGCCGAAGGAGAAGCCACCTTGAGGAGCAGCGACGTCACTTTGGAAGGCAAACGCGCCTGTCTCGTCGGTTGTTGGCCCACCAATCCCTGTCTCTTCTCCATCTTCATCCGTGTAATACTGTACAACAATAACAAATTCAGGATCAGATGAGCATAATGAAGAATGGCTGAGTTATGATAGGACTTACTTTATCCATAATGTAGAAACATTTCTTGTAGATCTCCAGGTTTTCGTGATGTTGGAGATTGTGAATCGTGTGCATCCCTCCGGCTTCTTCGATATAAGTCGCATAGAGATTGACGCCGTTATGTTCCTCCTTATCGGTCTCTCCGACCTTGAGAATATTGTCGAGTCCGTCGAGAGCGACTTGGATGATCTTATTGTCCAGGGCCTTCAAGAGGTCGCAAAGAGGCTTGATGCAGCCATTTTCGACGAGGTAGCGGATCTGTTGGGGCTCCTGGAGGCCACCGCTAGTAGCGTTAGAGATCGCCCACGCGGCCTCCTTCTTGGTCTTGAAGTCAGCATTCTGAAGGATGTTGATCAGCGGGGGGATGATCCCAGCTTCAATGACCGCCTGGATCTGGTGCGGCGAGCCCGCGGTGATGTTCGAGATCGTCCAGCAGGCCTCCTTTCGAATCCCATCCTTTGACGAGGAGAGTAAAGAGAGGAGCGCCGCCAGAGCTCCTGATGCAATCACAACCTGCGTCTGTAAGTCGTCACCTGTAACGATGTTGCCAACCGATCGGAGGGCTGGTGTTTGGACGGCAGTAGATGGATGCCTGTGATATAAGATTGCGTGATTAGGACAAGGCAAGGATTTGAAGATCAGGTGATCGGTGAAGGGACCATTACTCACATGAGCAGATCAACCAATCTTCGAACAACACCCGACTCGATAACAGTTTGAATCTTGTCATTCGATCCATCAGACAGGTATGAGATAGCCCAGCATGCATCGATCAAAACTTCGTCATCCATCGAGTAGATCAACTTGGTCAATACACTTAGAGCTGGGCAAATCTGTAAAGAAGGCCGATCGACATCAGTTAACAAAAGTAAGTTAACGAAAAAAAATGGGGAGAATAAGTACCAGATCCCAGTTGGGTTGTGGATTTTTTCCACGACAGAAGTTAGAGAGTGTCCAGGTGGCGTTCCTGAGCATACTAAGCTTATGGTTTTCGTTAAGAAGGTCAAGTAGTGGCCGAAGAGCGCCTTGATTCAAGACATAATCACGACAGGCCGGGCTGTCACCAGCGATGTTGCCGAGGGCCCAGACGGCCTGCTCACGAACATCGAGGACGGTCGAGGAGAGCAACTCGATAAAGATCGGTACCGCTCCGGCTTCGATGACAACAGTGGTGTGGTCAGAAGTTCCAGAGGCGATATTTGTTAATGCCCATGCAGCTTCAAACTAAGATGGCGAGATAACAGGCTGTCAGTTCTTTTGTTCTTTTTTTCGTGCAGCAGAGATGGGCGATTGATATGATGAGATGTGTTTGAATATTAACCTGAATCATCGAGTGAGGGCTCCTCAAAAACTCCACAAACCGAGTGACGACACCGCATTCGATCACCTTCTCGATCGGTGGGTTCTTTTCTTTGGACAGCAACTTTCGGAACTTGGTCGTTGCTTCCAGTTGATCATCTACCGTGTCCGAGAAGACCCCTTGGACCATCAGCGGCAGTTGCTCCTGAAGCTAAAAATGTTGAGAAACCATATCCGATTCAGAATCTGACTCTCTAACGATCATGAACGAGCGTTTGGATGAAAACAAAGATGAAAGGAGGGGCGAGGGAACCAACCTGAGAATCGAGGGCTGTGGCGACGCTTTCGTCGCTGATGATAGGGTGCAGTTCCAGGAGGGGTGTGTCAGTTGAGAGGACGGAGACAAGGAGAGAGAGAGAGAGAGAGAGAGTAACGTACTCGGAATCCGGACCACTGGCATCTACTTGGTAGTTACGTCGTTTGGCAACACATTCCTCTCGTTTGGCCTTCCTGATTTCGACCTGCTGTTCTTCACGCCTTCGACGCAGTTCATCGTTCTTGAATAGACTGTTTGAGATGATCGGATGTCGGAATGTAAGTGAGCGAAGGAAAGAATGGATGATGATGATACCCAATAAACTGGGGGGAGGGATCGATGACGTTACTTTTTATTCTTGTAGTTACTCTGACGATGGGTCTGGCTTGACATGTTGAGTGTAAGTGCTGTTCGTTAGTTGTTATCTTTAAATATGGTTGATTTCTTTCTCTTTTTGAGTTTTTAGTGGGGAGGTGGGAGATGGTCAAGAGGGATCAGAAGTGGTCGATGGGGGGAAGGGGAGAGAGTGGGAGGGGGGGGGAGGGAGGAGCAGGCAAGAAAAAAAATAATATTAAATATTAAATAGCATATCGGGTTTTGTCCACCCGCCTGGAGTTTAAAAACCTGGTTTCTGCCCGGATTAAATCCAACATGTATGTAACTGAGCACAACAAAGAATCCGATCCGAGTCGCGTCGAAAGATTCCTTTGATCCAGAAAAACTGATCACGCGCCTTAATCCCTTCCAAGAATTTTACATCACACTACATAGCACAAAGAAAAGAAAGGATCTGTGACAAGAGGATGGCAGAGAAACAATCGCTCTGTTTATCTTGAAGCCGTGCTCGCATCACATGGTGGAACTTGGCAATAGGAACCATCAAAAGCTGCGAAAGTTCTGCCCCTTCATCATGATTCATGGACACTGAAAGATTTACAAGAACCAGAAGCACGAGCTCCTGGCTTGGAGCAGACAAAGGCGCATACATGACCGATGAACAACTCCGTCTGATCAACTGCAATAGAACTCACATACACACACACACACAAGGGGATCGTCGCGAAAGGGCAGGGAAAACTTAGAATTAAACTGAGTTTCATCGAAGCAAAAAAATGTGCGCCACAAAACATAATGGATGGAGATCAACAATCCATCAGACATTACGCTTGAAAATTCGCTCTGGATTTTACCAGAACATTAGGTCAAGCGTTGACAGGTAGATTGATCGAAATATCTGAACCCAGCCGTCTCAATTATGCGACTGAGCTTCTATGAGCACATAAAAGACCACATATAAACTCTTTTCTGCCAACACAGGTACATAAATGAATACGCCCAAGAATCAACTACATAGTGTGTTTGCGCTATTGCTTCTAACAGAGCGAATTCCTTGGGGCTTGATCTTATGTGGTTGTTATGAACAACATCAATTTAACTCGGTAGTTTCTACGGTTGTGGCTATGGATCGCCGAGACTCCACGTGGTACCAATTCACATGAGTCCCATAGGTTTAAGTGCGCGAATCAATTTAAAAACTCAAAAAACCGTCGGTCTCAGTCTTCTTTGTCAGCAATGGGCGCACATGTAGAAGTGATCAATTCGAATTGTAATATTCACACATAATTCTAATAAAAAAGATAGACCAAAAACTGTACAACATGTCGGATAACATAAGCATTATTCTGAGAATACAGGATGTGATTGAGGAAACTTTCTTCTGGATGCGGGAGTTGCCAGGGAGGAGAAAATGATTAGGCAGATACGATGATCTAGGATTAGTCATCGATTGTCACCGGAGAAGCTGAGCCAAAGTTTAGTGGGAGGAGAGACTTACAATTAATGCTTGACCAAGAGAGCGTAATTAGAACCCATGGTTGCGACAAACATTATGTCGCTGACCGAGGCGGTTGAAGCCGATGTCCGTAACTGCCGCAGAGAAGGCACGGATTTCTAGGCGATAATCGAAAGGTTAGCGAGTTCTTTGGTCGGCCAATGATATGCGCTTGGGATGAAACTGCTCACCTGGCATCGATTCAACCAGATCGAGGAGATTGGGACATGGTCGATGAGTCGTGTATGTAGAAGGAAGCTATATAAGGTGATATGGATCAAGCCGTGAACGGGTCGAGAGGTTGAGAGACTAGAAAGAGAGAGAGAGAGAGTTACTTACCCATAGGATGACTGAAAGAATAAAGATCAAGAAAGATACAACAATATATAGAAAGGAAATCGGGGGTGGAAAGTTCTGGTGAAACGGAACAAGCAGAGATGTTCAGGTTAGAAGAAACTCAGACCCGGACCAGAAGGATTGTTGAAAGAGAGAAAGAGCTTACACGAATTCACTTGCGGCGCTTCTTCGGTGGTCCCTGGTCATCATCATCAGCCCGGCGGCGCTTGAGAGAGGCAGAGACTGGGGCGGCACCGGGAGCTGCGCGGTGATGGATGGTCATCCAGACAGCCCGGTGGTGAGGGTCAAGAGGGGGGGCTGGGGAGTCCTTGAGGAACACAAGTCCCGAGAGAGTGAGGCGGTAAGAGTGGGCAGCGGTGGCAGTGAGTTTAGGAGAGGCCACAGCGGCAAGAAGGAAGGACTTGGGGCTGGATTTGGGGGCTGCCATCATGGCGCGACGAGTGCGTCGGCGGGGACGGGTGAGGATGGCAAGAGGAGATGAGACTCGTGGACTATGCTTATGAGTTGAGCGTCCTGAAGCCATGATTAGAGTCTGTGATAGGGTGTGGGAAGGGATAGATAGGAAGTGGGGATGAGGAGGATGGAGGGAAGAGGGAAACGGTCTGGATTGGGATAGTGTTGTGGAAGGAGTGATTGGGGTGCGAGCAGCAAGAGGGACGGCTCTTTATATCCTGGCCAATTGCTGAGACCTGCGACTGGCAGTAGCAACTCGGCTCAGCTGGACAAAGGCGTCAATGGCAATCCGAGAATAAGGGGACAGTCGTGCTACAATTAGATGCTAACATCAGTTCAAACATGTATAAACCCCTCAACGATCGTTAGTTCATATTACTGAGCGATCTCGTGCAAATGGTTGTGACTCCATCAGTAGGATTTTCACCATTCAACGATTCCATCTATGTGCAGTCCTTTGTCTGATCAATTCATTGCCTTTGTGATCACTTGATTGCCTCAGGAAGCGGTTGAGAGTTGCAACCTCTTCATTGTAAGTAGAACACTGGACAACTAAGTATAATGTACCAAGACTCTACAGCAGACAATTATACTCGTAATCTTTCAAGCTGAGGATGAGCATGTCTCAGAACAAAGTGATCGAATAAACAACTCAACGGCTTCCCTCTTGTTCTAATCCCTTAACAAAAGCCCATCGATCATTCTTAGCTCACGAGGATACCGTCAAGAGTCCTTTCGTAGGGGAAGCTCAACTGGGCACAGTATGATTTCTTGCAGTAGGTCTGCTGCCCAGTTGACCGTCTATATCATCTCCGATTGAAAGTGGGACACCGTACAACCTTCATCTACCAAGGATCCATTTCGAACAGTCCATTCTACTCAGGAATCTATGCATATTCCTTTTAAAAACAGAACAACCGAATCAATTTTTTTTCTTCTTGCATTGCACGTGAATTTTTCTCTTTGTTGTAGTGAAAACAAATTCAAGGACAAAAACAAATGAAAAATCTCGCACACGGACAGCTCAACACAGTCCACAACAGTTCCTCCTTGTATGTAATTTTGAGGTTCAAGATAACCTGTTTCTAGTGTGTGTGTGAAAGTCTTTTTTATTTATTTGTCACCCTATAAGACGACTTTGCTCAGGTGAGCCCAGACCCATTGAGCTCACCCTTGATCAGTTGGAGATGACTCCTCGGCCGACTGAGTATCGCAATTCGCGGGATGGAGACCTGCAGGTGATACGTTTCCGATAGTGAGCTGATCTATGAAGCCTGTGCCGTTCGTGGAAGGCATTGACGTCAATTCCAATAGGTGACCAAGGTTTTAGAAAAACTAGTGCGACACTCGAGTGCCTTCGTCCCGGACGTCTACTTGGTTGGAATTATCCCTCAGCGGCTACCTCTCCCGATATCGGGGGGCAGGCAGTTGGTTGCTCACTACCATAAAGTGACTTTTACAGCCCCCATCATTTCGACAAGCTATTGAATATTGATGTGCAAGTTGAGTGATTCAATACTTGGTTTGAAACATAGTCCAGGAACTCAATCCAGCACGTTCGCTGGGTGTTGTTTCGATAATGATCTTGACATAACAAGCTGTTTGGAGTTGAATCGCCTTTGGACGGTCAGCAAGTCCAACGATCATCCGGGTTGGCACCCAGGACTTGTGTGCCCAATCTGTGTAGGTCATCCAGCCGAGAAAAAAGTATGAACATATACAGGCCTCCTTGCCCAAGTGTATATCAACTTGGTTATCTGAGGTCGATGATGAATTTATCTCTATTCATCGCTGTTTTCTACATAAATAGGTCCCGAGGATGGTTGGAGATGTCGTCCGGGACACATAAATGAAGGAACACGGCCGGGATACAAGCCCCAACAAAGCGACACGTATGATTGCTACGGCACACATGGGGGATTGAAGTCCTGTGCGTTTTTTTGGACATGTCTTGATAGACCAAGAAGGCTCATGCATCTGCTGGAGCAACACGCTGGCAAGCCGAAAGAGATTGGTACGCAGGATGGTTAAAATAGACATGCAGACTTGTTGATTTTTTTTGTGTTGCTTCATGAGCCTGCTTGAGCTCACGAAGCCCTGGCTCCCCCGGCCCCGCGGCCCGCGCGGCAAAGAGATGATGTTATAGGCAAACTTGAGCAGTATTTAACTTGGCACACAGCCCTCAAGCCAACATGACAAGTCCCTCCCATCTAAAAAAACAGGCTTCATCATCATAAGAAGCTCACAGAATCTCACAGAAGCTCACAACTGTGACCTTGATCCTTTCAAGGATAAAGTTGATCCTTTCAAGGATAAAGGAAATTAAGTACTCAGTCTCAAGAGAGAAAGTGAACTGCTTCATGACTGGCCAGACTTCCACATGATGAGATACCTCAGAACATCTGTTACTTGACTCTCTGAAAACTCACATCTAAAACTCATTCAAAGCTGGGACTCAACCTCAACAATGAAACAGATTGAACGAGTGATAAGAGCCTTGCAATGCGCCTTCACTTTTTCATCTTTCCAATTTTTTTTTGCTCATGTTATCTTCACTCACATCTTCTCAAAGAAGCTCATCTTTCTTCTTCCCTGATTTATACCATTGCTGATCATTTTTGATTCATATTTCATATCACATGTTTGTCAGTACCCTGCCTTTTTTACATTTACCGCTTTCCTCAAGTTGAAATTGGATTTACATTCCTATTCGATCCCAGGATGGCACAGAATGGGGAGACACCCTAGTCTTTTGGCCACATCCAGATGCAGTTATAAAGCACGTAACATGTACACCTACATGAAATGTATTGAAAATGACACCATAAATCATCTTGGTCAAATAATACATTAAACATTTGCTAAGAGGATTGGATTACATGCAAACTGTTGGATAATTGACTGGAAAATACACTCAGATAAGGGGTTATAAATAATACAGTCAAATGAGGAAAGGCGATTGATAGCTACGTCATGGAGCAAAAACTCCAAGAAATGGAGTAGAGAAAGTGCAAAGGGGGTCAATTGTTCAAATGATATATCCAAACCTTCATCCATGCCAACAGTGTAAAAATCAATCTCCCCAGAGTCCAAGTTTTGCTCAACCTGAGATGGTGGGCTCGGTATGAGTTAAACAGCCAAACGAGTGGTTTGATGGAAGGTTTTGAAGTCCGATTCTTCGTCAACCGAGCGATCAATGTCTGGGATAGACAACCGGGCTAGCGGTTTCCAAGAAGTTTTTCATTTGATTTTCTTTGTGGAATCCTCGCACGTCATCTTCAACGGCTAGCAGTTTGTCCAGGGCTTCAGAAATCCCAGCCGTCAGACATTTGATATCGGTGAGGCCATGGAAGATTAGAGAGCCCCGATTGAGAATTTTGGGTAATGATTGTTGTTGAGTTGATTGGGTTTTAAAACTGAAGAGGATGGAAAGATATGGATTTTCTGGGTTGATTTTGATCTCTGCATACTCATCAGTCCACTCGGAAGCTTCTCTCTCAAAACTAAATTCTTCATTTTTCACTCGTACGCCGCAGAATGAGATGTGATCTTTCGTGAGTACTGAGTTCGGATCACCCGAGTCGAAGTAAATCGTAAATAATTGGTCGAATCCCGGCTGCATGGGCATGCACTGTACTGCCATGCCTCGGTACATGAATTCCAAAAGATCGCTCGCGTGTGGTGTATAAGTGATCTGTATGAAGTGGTTCCAGAAGATTCGAGCTTCAGTCAAGAGTCGTTTTTTGTGCTGAGACTCTATGTCGCCAAGCTCAAGGTCTTGTTCTTCTGATCCAGTCAAGGCGCATAAGAAATCCACCAAGCGAACGGAGCACCCATATGGAATGTCGATCTGATCCTCGGAAATCGACATGGCTTTGTGCATCGCCCGCAACAAGATGATTCGACTAGCCAACTCTTCAGCATTCCCCGAGGAGATGACCCCTGGTTGCAGAGCAGAAGTGAGAGCATCGATACAGTCAATTAACCTACTCTCGTCGGTTGCAAGGAAGTGGTTAGCTGCCATGGAACAAGCGAATTGAGATGGGTATTCGCTGATGACTCGGTCGCGTGATGGCGAAATGTACAAGCACATAGCAAGATGGTTTGAAATGAGCTCAGAATTCAACTTTGTGGCTGAAGTGGTACGTGGCTGAATAGTAGAACCCATCAAAGCAAACACTTGACCTTCGGAGAGAGGTTCATGGGCCTTTGTAAAGCCTAGTAACTTCTGAGTGGCGATCTGACCGATGTTCCTAACAATCATATGATCTGTCATCCCTTTCTCCTCTGCTCCCTCGACGTAAATTCGAAAAAATGGGAGGCCGTAGCTGAAAAGGCGTCGCGGGGATAGCAATTCTGCCCATGTTTTTGGTCGACCTGGGGGAACCTTCGAGTCAAAGGTGCCAATATCATATATAGGCGGGAACAGTTCTTTGGGGATGGAACCAGGATCGGGTCTTCCAGTAGGATCATAGAATATAGTTCGGTTGGGTTCCGCCGCAGCTAATGGGATGTCTGTAAAGATGGCGAAGAATCCAAGCGAACCCGGTATTGTGGACAGAACTTGCCGAAGAATGAGAAAGTATGATTCCCTCAAGAAATCTCTTGTTTCTAGCTTTGCGAGCTCCCGGGCTTCATCGATGGCCAGCAAAACCTTCAGGTGCGGGTTCTGGATAAAGCATGTGCTTTCGTGCATCTTCTTCAAACTAGTACCGAGTGTGGCATGATCATCCAGCTTAGCGTTCGAAACTTCTCGCATTCTCTCACGAACTCTGGATGCAAACTCATCCTCATATTCACTATTGAACTTGAACCACTTCTTCAGTCGTTTCTCTTCGCTAATCTGAGCTGGTTGTTTGGAAAAGAATTCTGCTACCACGTGGAAAACAGCCGCTAGGAATCGGGTATACACTAGTTCTAATTCGTAGAAATTCTTCGCGGCAGGAACCATCTCATCAGCGAGCGGAGACCTCGAGGGTAGTCCAGTCGAATTATGGGGGCACAGGCAGATGTAGATTACACAGATGTTTTTCGAAAGTTGCTGTAGTAATCGGGTCTTTCCCACCAGATTTGGGCCAAGCAAGGTGGTATACGGAGCAAGATATTCCCCTCGTGTCCACTTTTGAGTAGCTTCGCTAAGGCGCTTGAGGATCGGTTTCAAAATAGTTTCATGCCGCAGGTATGGGTGTCGGTAACCAGCCTTGAGGATCTGGGTATGTTTGGACTCGGGTTCTATAGCAGCAAGAAGCTCCTCTCCTGCGGCAACGGAACCTTCAAGGAGCGCGTCGAGCATCTCTCTGTATGACACGTTTCCTTGCTGAGACCAACGTGGATACTGATGAAAGAAAGCGAGCTCGATAAATTCTTTGTCTAGGTCGACATCTTCTTCCAATTTGTAAATCGATCTCATAGTCGACCAGGCCCGAGGTTTTCTGAGAAGAAATGCATGCCATATCTCGTTACGAAAAGCTGTTGGCTGATCTTCTGCTCTGCTATAAGCTTCAGTGAGTTCATCGAGGTATTCCTTAACTCTGCTCGCTTCACGTCCGATGGGTGAGATCGATCAGCTGATGCGTGCGAGGTGACAAGATGAAACGGATCTACTCTGACGAACCTGAAGATTCTTGGAGCAATCTCAAGAATGACTGATCATCAGGATACCTTTCATTTGAATGCAATCCTGCGTACTGAAGGCAAAGTTGGGTTTCCGCGTCCTCGTCCGATGCCACCCCTTTGCGCTCTGGGGATGAGGAATTCATGCTAACAATCTGGGGGGACATAAGCTATATCAGCGCTTGCACTGGAGCAAATATGGTCTTCATCAAGATCCAAGCAAGAAAACACTTACGGGCAATATTTTAAGGAGGGTGTGATCGGTTAAGCCCTGGAATCTACTGATGTGAAAGGATGACAGGACACCAACAATCTCGCAGAAGTAGGACAGGCAAAATCTAAGCAGATGGAGAGAAGACTTACTCATGGACTGTATTATTCTGGGTGATCGGATGGTAGGATCCACACTGTCCTCACCCTACATAGCACGGACCTTGCTTGCCCTGGGTGCCGGACTGGGGGGCGCGCCCAAATGCCTAGCCCCCGGTGTGCCCTCCATCCAGAGTGCAGGGGCTTGACAGAGACTGTAAACAAAGTTTTTTTTTTCCTGAACCTGATACTGATAGCTTGTCCTTTGAACCACACTAACTGGCCGTCATCTTTTGGGATCATAAATATATGCCACTGCTAACCCTTCCCCATTGATGGTACATCCTTGTCAAAAAGATGTGGATAAAGCTGTCGTGGTGACTTGAGCATGTTGGCTACAGTCGACTCTGAGATAACCCATAGCTGAGAAAACCCATACTTCTATGAACCCATAGGAAAATCTGTCTCCCAAGTTGGTGGGCAGGGAAAAATGGGTCTTAACCCATAACTCTGCATTCTGCAGTAACCCATACCCTTTTTGAGAAAAAAACCGAAAAATTATGGGTTTTTTCACCTTCAATTTCAAATTTTTCTGAATATGTACATACAATTAAATGCATGCTTCTCACTCTCAGCTTAAGCCAAACTGATTTGGAGTCTCAGAATAAATCTCTTGTGCTTTGTATCATCCAAAAACATGAATTCATCATCATCCAATGGAAGGTCACAATCCCATCCCCAACTACATCTTCCGGAATGCAAATATTATTTCCTTTAGAACCACAAACTACACTGTAGACTACACTAACAGTGAAACATTCAGCCATCTTCACTCATTCAAAGAGTTCCTCCTTCATCAACTGGAAGAAAGTTTTTTGAAAATGAAAAAAGAAACAAGCTCAAAACTTAAGAACCTTTGGCTGAAGCAACAAAATGGACAACTCAATGAATCAGAATAACCAACTTGAAACCAAATGGCAACTCAATAGATACATAAATTGTAGATAGATCAAGCAAAGAAGCTTATGCATACGGGCTACATGAGTACAGCCATACCAAAATCAAAGAACTCATAAGAACAATATCTGTGTTAACCCATGATAATCATGGGTTAATACAGCTTTATTCCTTACCCCATGAATCATGGCCTAATACAGATCTTGCCCCTAAGCCATGCTTCTATTACCCCATACCAAAACCAACGCTGGGCCGCTACGCTACGCTACGCTAAAGGGCCACTTAGCGTTAGCGTAGCGGCGATAAAACGGGCCCTTTTTTCTGTAGTGTTAGCGTGCCGCTACCGCCGCTACGCTACGCTACGCTACGCTACGCTGAAGCCCCGCTAACAGGCGGCTTGTTTCTGGGTAGTGTTAGTGCATCGCTACAGCCGCTACGCTGCGTTACGCTGCGCTACAGCGCTTTTAGCGGCAAAAAGGCAAAAACCCGCAAAAAACCCGCTAAAAGCGCTGTAGCGCGGCGTAGCGGGCACTTTTTTGTGCCCTGAGCGCATAGCGTTAGGACAATTCTAAATTTCTGCGCTAACGCTACGCTAACAGCTAACGCACTTCTGTGCCCTCTGCGCGTAGCGTTAGCGCAGAAAGGCGGATTTTCCGCTAACGCTACGCTACAAAGTAGCGCATTTCCGCTGCGCTACGCCACGCTAACGCTACGGTTAGCGTAGCTGGCCCAGCGTTGCCAAAACCTTTCTCCCAAGGGGTATGGGTTATCTCAGAGTTGACTGTACTAGCCTACTACAATCAATGACTTTCATGGGCACCCATCTGCATCCCAATTCCCAGCCTGTCCTTAGCTGCCTCCCCCCCCCCTCTTAATTGCCATCCGGGCTGCTTATACTGCAACAAGCAGAAGGCTACTCAGCACCCTAGACATGAGCCCTTTCTTTTCCAATATAAATATGTTTTTGTATCTTGATAGATCTTCTCACAGTCCTTGACTAACAGGATCTCCAAGTGTCTAAACCAGCACCCAGATATTGAAGGACTTCCTGTCGGATCTGGGACCCTCACAGAAGTCAATCTAGACCCAAAAACTCTTAATTCTTGCAGAGAAATTTAAATTTTGAGGCTCTAAACCGTCTCTGGAAGACCTGCAGATGTTGACGGGAAGTCCTCCATTGCACTGGGCGTCTTAAGAAAAAGAAAAATGTTGTTGAATAGTATGGCACCTCATCATCAAGACTCTTGTTTCTGCTCTCATCCTGAAATCCAAGCTGTATATAGTGTTGATGTTTCCGGGACCCTGATTGCTGTAAATCCATTGACTTTGTACAGTGGCGCGCAGCATTGTACTGTACAAGGTTTGGCAATGTCCAAAAGGTCAGGTCCCAAAACTTAGATTTTGTTTGTGATTTTTGCCTGTTTTTGGGGGTTTGAGATGTAAATCCGGTGTCACAGCTGCTGTAATTGACCTATGAAACACACTTTAAGCTCATGTTTATGGGTTTTGGCTGACAGTTAGCCATGTGAGTATGGGATTAGGATACCTCCCTAACCCATAAATATGTACTAAGCCCCCCATACATGACCTGTGTCCAAATGGTCTAGTGAAAAAAGTTTTTTTTTGGCTGGACCAAATTGTTTGCCACTTTAGATTTGGAATCTACACACCCTGTAGACTCCAAAAACACACTTATTACAAGTTCTGGACCCCCATTGGGGTTGGGGTTTAACCCTGCACAACCAGAACAAGTTTTGCGGGCAGCGTTGTAGAGTGCAATGCCGCTCGCCACTGTACATCTTGCCCTCTTGTTCATGTACATTTGAGAAATCCATGACTGGTAACATCAAACATTGGTACAGCAGTAGTAGTAGTGGTGGTGAGCAAAGCAAGGCTGTCTAGTAGGTAGAAATCCATTCAGTGGCCAATATCCAATGATCTTATCATTCCAAAGAACTGCAGTACATAAGCTGGAGATAAATTCACAAGTCCATTGATTTTTGTATCTCATCTGACAAGCTGCAACAGGCTATCTTGGCGGCAGGCCAATATCCCGGTTCACGTAGCTGCTTGTCCGCAGTTAAAAAATTCAAAACAAGCAACCATCAACCAAACCTCAATTATTTTTTTAACTTGTACTTTGGCCCGCAAGCAACAATCAATCCTCAAACGAGCATACAGAAGCGTGCTTGCCATCATAACCTCGCCTACCACCCCCGCCCCCCATCCACCTTGCCACCACAGAACTTGTTCTACTCATCAATTTTCACACCAAAGGCAGATCATAACTCTGCCGCAATACTCATTTGAAGGTAAATCCTTCTGCCTCTTTTCTGTTTGATTTTTTTGCCCTTTGCCTCCTTTTGGAAAAGTACATACTGATGGATTATCTTTTCAAGGCCATGAGAGGTTATTCTGAATGCCAAAGCCTGATTCGGGATCTGTTCTTGATTATTGTATGGTTAGAGCACGAGGAATTGGAGGACATGATTGATAGTTGGTTCTGCCACATTCAAATGCCAACTGAAGCCAAAATCATGTTCCCCAGGAGCAAGTTTCAACAAAAAATGTATGATCTACTCCTCAGTGATCGGGCAATGTTTGATGAAGCACTTCGACTAGTTTTATCAAACCAATATCTTGTTCCTCAACCAACACCCAACCTACAAGACAAATTTGACCTCAAACGACTGTTCAACATGCCCGAAATTGAATTCCAACAGTCTTCAAGGACCTCAAAGGCCAGATTTATGACATTGGCTTTGTCTTGTAAGATAGCGTCAATACAATCAAAACAAGGACATATTTTCTCTAGAGCCTCCGCGAGTGTTTCCGGTCCTTCACTACTCTCAATTCCAGCGCTGGTATTCTCCTCAAACCGTTTGGCTTCTAAGTATTTTTTCTTGTATCAATCAATTCAAAGCTGTAATCTCCTGCCATTGAGGAGCAAGTTGGGATTGGTTCTATTCATCCACACTGCAAACACATCAAAAGCCTGTGTTTTCATCATTATTGTTGTTCCCACCCCAGTCTTTGACCCATCATCATACAAGTCGGTATAATGTTGAGTGTTCTCCAGATATGAACAGACGTTCTCGAAGTCACTATGATTGCTTGCCTCAATTGTCAGCATCCTCCGAGCAACTCAATCTGGTCAATCTCAATCCACTTTGTGTTTTCCTCCTCTTATCAGCTTCTTTTGGCTGTTTTTCAGCTTCCCTGGCCTGCTTTTGGGCCTCCTTTTGTTGATTTTTGATGAGTTTTGCCATGTCACGTTCTTGCTTGCGACAAAGGTGAGCCTGCTCTTGCTCAGCACAAAACAGTTCCATCTTGTCCTGGGTGCGGCGGCAAAGTTTGGGAGCCGGTGGAGGAGGTAGTTTGCCTAGTTCAGTAGAGTTGTTTGCTTGACGATTGGCTTGATCAGGATCTGAAGAGCATCCAAGATTGACATTTGACAGGCCAAGCTGCAATGAGTTATCAGATTGATCCATCAACATCAAAGATGATTGATCCATCAACATTGAAGATTGATCTAGGGACAGCGATTGGTCCAACAAAGATGAAGGTGAAATCTGCTGGATTGATTCAAACATCAACATCAAAGCAGTAGACATGAAAATTGAAGAACCACCACCTACCAAAGTATTCTCCATATCAGTACTTTGCTCCATGATTGGAAATGAGGGATGGGATGTGAGGTTTGGTTGGGGGATGGTTGGTGGTAGAAGGACAAGGGGATAGTCGGATGAGATGATCGGGGAGAGCCGGGTGGTGTGAGTTTTATGAAAATTTCTTTACAAGCAACTGGTAGGAGAGCAACGAGCAGGGGATAGTGAGGAGTGATAAAATTTTAAGCCTCAAGCAGTTAGGTATTTGTGACATGTCTTAAAACAGCCCTATGTGAACCGGGCTAATGGAGGACTTCCCGTCGGTTCTGCGGGGCCCTGCAGATGTCAATTTAGACCCAAAAACTGTAAATATCACGCCTCTTAATTTACCCAAGGGTTACCATCACGTTTCCAGATCCTCATTGCCTCTCTGCTCGTTCAGAGAGGATCAGCTCATACACATACCTTTCATCCAGCAAACATCCAATACCAACCAATCTTTCAACCAATCCAACACCAACCAATCAACCATCTATCACCAACCAATCAACTGTCCAAAACAAATCAGGATCTATCAACCAACCACATCGATCCATCTGCAAAAACAAACATGATAATGCAGACTGACCGACTTATATATAACCAGCTCTGTATACACTTTTTAAGCTAGGAGCATTCTCAGTTTTGATTTGGGTTCATCCAAAAGCATGAGTTAAGAAACCAATCAGAACCGACCCCCCCCCCCAAGTGTAATGCTTATCTACCTCGTCAAATCTCTACAATTGACCAGACGTGAGGTGTGGTGACACGAGCAAAGACCGGGTTAAGAATTTCATTTCCCAGACCATTCTCATCAATTTCTTTGATTTCGTAGCAGCAGGTGCCACCCCAACCATTTCACCAGGGCTTTGCTGAGATTACATTGGGTTTTTATAACGCCCTCCTGGATCGTCAGATAGTTCTTTGATCGCGCAGGTCCTCTCGGAGACCGACCGATTGACAATGTCGATACAGCTCCTGATCAGGTTCTCTCGACTCACCCAACTAGCTTTTACCAAATTTTTCTTTTGAAAAAAGGAAGCTCATCTTAGTGTATATAGTCCAGATACAAACAGTCACATTTTTTTTTTTTGTTCGTGTCAATGAAACACTTCACCGGTCAAGATTTTCCAAAACTGTGCGCATTGGCTTGTCGAGGGCAGGCTTTGAATGTGTTGCTGAGGAGGATGGTCGGAGGGGGAGCCTAGGAGGAGGAAGGAACGGTTGAGGGCGAGGGTGATGGAGTTGTTGGACTTGCGGTTTTAAGTGGTTCAATCAGCCTGCAATTGGTTGATATCTTGACCTTGGTGGTCCGCTGCCTTATCGGCCTCGGTCATTGGCCATGTCCCATGAAGCAAGTGCCCCACACACTGACAGTGAGGACTATCAAGCACAGGACATCCGTTTTAGTCTGTAGCAAGTGGCAGTGGCCCTATCCTGAGGAGGGGAGGATTCAAAAAGCAACTATGTATCAGCTGTACCTTATCAGGTCAAAGCCATGGAGGGAGTAGTCACAATGTTTGAGCGGTACATTTCCATTGATTGGCTGCCAGCAGCTGGCAGCGGAAGATACTTAAAAGACAGCTCCTCACTGTTGGAATTGGATGAGGAGAGCCTGTTTTCGGTATCCAACACTTGTTTCAACCTACCTAACCTACCTTCATTCCTTCCCAGAAAGATTATAACTGTACATACATCGATGCCTTTTCTTCCTATCCAAAGGGGTGATCACCCCGATGCAGCTCCTGAGGCTGCAGCCAACCCACCCACCTTGGATGATATCGCAAAACAGCTCAACTTTGTGGAAAATATTGCGAATTGGTCCTGTTTGCTGTCTTTGCTCATCCTCTTCAAACTTTTGAGATCCTGAACCAAAAATTCTCTGGTTTCACTCCCTACAGTTCGCTCCACTGCTGAAGTCGACTCAACCCCACTGGCCACTGGAGTAGTGACCCTCTCACCACTATACTGAAAGTGCTCGCCGAACAAGGTATGAAAGTTTCTCATTCCTCCTGTCAAGCTGCAATCATCCCAGCTCACCAAGCTCAATATAATCCTATCCCAGACCCCGGTGCACTCATCCCTCCGCAGGTACGACAACAGTTGCAAGACATGGTCAGGCCTGAGGCGGGGGCGAATCCCAACACCCTCAACGAAATCAACCGACAGCTGGCCACCATCATTCGGGCTCAACAGGAGGCCACACAGGAGGCCACACGGCGCATGGACGACCTTCAAGATGGCGTCCTTGGACTACTGAGGCTTTTCACACCCGCTAGCGATCTGCTGGCAAGGCTTGAAGAACGCATGCTGGCTCGTCCTCAAGTTTCCCCACGACCACCCCGCCAACAGCGTAACCATCCTTACAACATGCGAAACCGGCGATAGCCTTATCATCCCACTCTCTTTATCCCCTACACTCCTTAGGTTGTCTGTTGCTACCCCCCCCCCCCCTCCTAAAAATCACTAGGATTCGTTACGATCATTCAATTGGTCCTTCTTTTTGAATGAAATCTATGATCGTCGACCGTAACTGAACGAGTTTTAACCAGCTCGCTCAAAATGCTTCTAATCTCGCCAACCTGTGTAAAAGATCTGCAATTACCCGAGCTATATCTGAAAAACTGTTCTTGAGAGCCTTCTTTTATGTGTGTACTTGTTGATTGGTTTTTGTTCATACTTAGAAATCATGATCCTCATCCATCCCTCGATCATAATCTTTCATCAAATAAAGGCTGCTACTCCTCATATATCTTGTCATCATATATGGTTGTAACAACTTTTAGGCTCTCATTGATTGTTGTAATACAACAAGCAAAGAGCAATCGAAAAAGCTGAAAGACCGTTTTTAACGAGAAAGAAAACAAACAAACATTCTGCTTCACAGATAAAGAGGTTCGACACAATTTATGACTTGATCATCAAGAGTTAAAGAAAAGGATACTCCGGCCTGTTTTTCTTTTGCTTGTCTCTTGAGGTTTGGTTACTTTTAAACAACCCTACAAAGAAAGAGAGAGAGAATAAAAGAATCCAAAAGAATCTAAAAGAGAATCCGTCTCTCACTGGGAATATTGAAGGAGAGGACGAGGTCGGTGCCATGGCCCTGATTGCCGATCCCCTTCAACCGCCACAAGCCGATCCAGATGTGCACGTCGTGTGCCTCGGCCTCGGAGCCGTTGAACTTGGCGACCGATTGGAGCCCGTAACAGCGCACCGGCTCCGGCGTGCTTCTTGCCTTGCCACTACCGTCTCCTCCCTTGCTCGATAGACTTGTGGAAGGCCCCGCTACGATCGCTGGCGGCTCCGTAAACTGTCTCACATCTTCCGGTACCGTGATGGATTTGATGGTCGCTAGTTTGGAGCAATTGGCATGCGCTAACGAATCGAAATGGTACCTACACACCCACGCCGCAGACTTCATTAATATCATATTGTTTTTTTTTTTTTGATCAGAAACAGCCTTCGCTGTGAAGAAACGGAGATGAAAATTGTGATTTACAGAGGACATGTTGGGGAGACCTACTTGATAACCGATGGTCCGATTCCGGCTGGTTTTTTCCATCATCGTCAGGAGTAGTATCTCGGGGTTGTCATTCGGATCGACCAGCTCGAGCGCCTCGACGATCATCGAAAGATCCTTCGTCAACATCGTTGTCCGTTCTTCTTGCTGCTGTTGGTCCTCGGAGTCATCGCGGCTGCTCGACGTGGTGATGAAGACTTATTGAGTATCTAGGACTTGTTCGACGGTGATTGCTCCGCCGAACAGCGGGACTTCCTTGGCCTTATAATTTGTCGTCGTCGTCGTCGTCGGCTTCTGCATCCTTCTTCGTGGTGTGGTGGTCTAGTTGATTCCCGTTGTGTTCGCGACTCTACGTACACAGTGCACTGTAGCGCGGACCCCCCCCCCCCGCCCAGAAATTCTTTGTTAAAATAAACACACCCTGGTTGTAAAACTGCATTGAAGAGAATTTCAGTGGAAAAGGTTCCAAAAACACTGTGGCACAACCACATTTAGTCTGACACAACTAAACAACTATCTCTATTGTACCAGACTGACTGGGGCAAGAGCCACGACAAAATGTAACAGAGAAGCAAAGGGTTGAAAGGGATAGGCAGTTGAGACAACAGGCTCCAAGTTCAGAGTTTGATGATGGCATTATGTGCCTGTTGACCATAGAAATTTTGTCTTTTCATCCATATGTTTGACTGGATGAATATATGCCATGTGTTGGACCTACTGTAACAGCATAAATCCAGTCAATTATGAAGGATTTGGGAGTTCAAAGCAACCACAAAAGTGACTAACTAGGTAAGTTTAATTCCGATTCAAATTGCAGTTTTTCCCAGGGCACCATATCATCATTTTTCCATAATCTAACTCCAAAAATGACCTAAATTGGGGCTGCTTCTGGTGGTTCTTGAACCCACAACCTCAGGGTAGATGGAGGGAAGGCTTAGCTGGCTAGCCTACAAAGACTGGATTTAGGATTTAGTGTTTGATGTAGTTTTGGTGGAAAGGGTCATGGCAATTTATCTAAGAAAATGAAAAGAGCATCTGTCTTCTGTGCCATTTCCCTGAGGTCAATAACAAATACAACCTCTTGTAGCGTGTATGCATTTCCGTCACACAAGCTAGCAGACTGTAGCCCTTTTTTGGGCTCTAAGACCATTTTTTTCTCCCTCAGAGCTTTTTCCTCAAGGTTTTCATCTCCCCGTCTCTTCCCCCTTCTCTTGGCAAAAATCTTGAGTTCCATCAATGAGTTTCCTCCATTTGGGGTGGAATAATTTTGAAGCCACATGTTCTGACTGAAGAGCATTCACCAGGAATTTCATTCTTAGGAATACCTCTTAGGACAAGCTCAGGTCAAATTAGGATTATCAATAAACTGAAAACACCTCTCTATCTTACCTTCCACCCATACTCCTCTTTCTGACCAGAATCTGTTATAAATTCCCGTTACCCTTACCCCATTTCTACACTCTGACTCAAGTTTTTAATCTGTATTTCCCTATCAGCTCCAGGAAGCCTGTGTAAGCCTCAGTTGATCTTTCCTGAGTAACGGAAGAAGGACTAATCCATTTTCTTAATAGTGTCTAAAACTATAACACTACAGTATACCATAATTAGTATAAGCCTGACATTGAAAATAATTCTTCTCACACACAATAATTATTTATAGTCCAGATTTTATTTGACAGCTTTTCCATAATTTTTCCTAAAAAAAATACATTTAATCTCAGATTATCTCACTGGGTAGGCTTATAGCCTCAAAAACAAAAAAATGAATTCTTCTGTTCAAGGGCTTGGCATCTTTATCTGGCAATGAAGCCTTGGGTAGATGTCAACGGGAATGATGAGGGGTACATGACCCTGAGAATGGGATAAAATGAATTTCAACAGCTGGGTACACCTCAATGTAGGTTTGTGCAGACCCCAAAAGTGGTGTGCACAACCCACTTTGAGGTGTACACACATTTCAGGCTTTAAAAGTAGAGAATTTGTGGCCTGAGTTCAGCTATTCCCAGAAAAATTAAATCTCAAGAAGCATTAGTGGGCCAATGAATGAAGGTGATGTAAGAATCCAGATCAAACAATTTGAAAATTAATAATTTGATAAAATTATGGATCAGAAAATCTGATGATCCAAAGATTTGATTGAGTTACTTACCACAATCAAAATAAGTGAATAGAATACTGATGATAGATGCATAGAAATCTGTGATGTGAAAAAATCATTTGCCAGAGGTCCCAAAAGATTTGAAAAGAAAATTTTGCAAGAGTGCATCTGAGTGACATGTGGATCCAGTTGGCCTGACACTCCTGTAAGAGCTCCAAACGGAATATCTTCCTTGCCTAGTTTACCTTCTTCGAATTTTTCAATCCAGGAAAATCACTTGATAAATATTCACCATTTTGCTGGCATTGAAGATAATTATTCTGAATGAGCTGAGAATGGGCCATTCTTATGTCAATTTCACACTCAAGAATTTCCTCCAATTCCTGTTGACTTTACTGGATATTGATCATGCAGATTTGGTACATAGTTTTAACATCCTACAGGCATGATAAAATCTGGAAAACCTATAAAAAGACCTATGATTCCAACAACAATTCACATATATTCACCTTAATAGCTACACCATTTTCATACCAAACTGAAGTTTTCTCTTGGCTCATTGAAAAAATTGACATACATAATTAGCAGAACAAAATTGAAATAATAAAAATCAGAAAATTAAGCTCTTAAAACAAAAAGGCTTAATTGAAATCATAAAAATCATAAAGTTAAGCTCTTAAAACAAAAAGTCTCATGAAGATTGGTGTGCAAAATGACTGCCTGCAGATAGCATTGATCTTTCTCAGTTCTGATTCACCTCTGCATAGCAAGGAAGCTAGGAGATGGACCCAACCAGCCATCTGAACTCAATGATTCATTCAATAGCACTCATTTCTAATCTTGGTTAATAAATTAGGTGCACTTTCTTGCCTGGAAACCAATGGATTGGAATGGCTGTATTGATCTAAAAGTAGCCGGCATCACCAGCATTAACAATAAGAGCCAAATTTGGCCCTTATGTTTGTTTTATTTTTGTGATCTTAAAAGATTTGGGGTAAATGCTCTGATTTGAATATTATTTCAATATTAAACTTGACTGCTTCTCTTAACTAACAATACACTCTTAATTTTCACAAACTATTTTTTTTAGAAACAGGATATAAGAACAGAAAAAGGAGCCAAAATCAGAACACAGAAAGCAGCCAAAAAATAGCCAAGAAAGGAGGGAAAAGAATAATCTTCCAATGAGTTTTTCCGTTTGGTGGTTTGAACACAAAAGAGATAGAAACAGACGATTTACTTTAATTTCCTCCAGCGGCACCAGACATATTAGACGGGGCGGTTGAAGTTGGACTGTCGTCCTCATAGGCCCCAATTTTCTGGCAATCTGATGTATTATGGTGTAAAATCGACTGGAAATCGTAATGATGAGTTTCCAGAGATGGAACAAAGCAGTTTGATGACCATTTGTCTGATATACCGGGAAGACTGTGACGAACGTGTAATTGTCAGTAAAGACAAGGGTTGGATGATAATGATAAATAGGGAGTGCTAGATGAAGAAAAAGAATGTATATTACTGACGAGTGCCGAATCGTCGATGTAACGGGTGAGACGTTGTGCTCTTGTGTTGAGAGTGAGGAGGACGATGATGAAGAGGATCCCTTCCGGGGCGGTGGAACTTGATCTTTTTCATTTTCTGCTGGAGTGGGTAGAGGACATGATCTGATGTAAGAGCAGTTTGGACCCCCCAGATTGTCGTGAGTTTCGGGGGTGATCATCTCGGAAAAGGTTTGATGACAGCTGGCTTCCATTTGAACCAGATGGAAGGACCGCTCAGCAGATCTTTCGCTGGGTTTACTGCCACGCCCTTCGGCGCTTCCCGGTTTGGCATGCAACGAGGGATGGCCGGAATAAACATCATAGGGTATGTCATGGAATATCGGGATATCGGTCGTTCCCACGCTTTGATAGCCGTCGCGGGGATGGTAATTTAAGGAGTCGTTTACTTGAGAAGGGAACAGTGGATTTTGGGCAGCACTAATTACAGAGTGGTTGTTGTTTGTTGATGTTATTGGTCTGAACGCAATGAGTGAAGCTGGGCCGGGTTGTTGCTCGGGCCAAGCGTTGGTGGTGACATCAGAGCAAACGGTCGTGGAGGATATTGAAGCCGTGTCAGGATACTGACGTTCAGATTCCTCAATGGATTTAAGCGTTGATGGATTGGAATTGATCGGACTGTGATAAGTCTTGGGATGGTTCTGGTGTGACTGAGGATCGTCGAATGATGAGGAAACGCCACTGGAGGTATGGGGACGCCCAAAATCAAATGATAAAGACTGAGGCTCGGTTTCATTAAGATCGTGGTTATAATGAGGAGGCAGATCATTTGAACCCAAGGCTTGATATGGATCGTTTGGTAGAACGGTGCAATCGCTAGGGTGCGGAAGAGATTGGGGTCTTTCGGAAACACACGAACTATGGGTTAGTGGATGAACTTCTGCTTCAATGTTTTCATACTCGTTGGATGATTGAAAGAGTGCGTTCCCCACCAGGCCTCCGGACGGATACTGGCTTGCATTCTGGGGTTGGGAGGATCTTTGCCAGGTCGGGTAGCTTGGTACAGAATAACGACGCAGGTCGACTGGAGGCAGGGGAGCACTGGATGGATGCAGCGGAGCTAGAGAAGAACCGCCAGAGGTTGAGGTCGGTCCCGAGGAGGGCTGTACATTGTGCGCCATCCGAAGATTCCGAAGGCCATAACTGATGCTCTGGCTTCCTGGAAAGGGGGGTTGCTCAAATGTTCGAGTCCATTGGGTAGAATGTGGAATATGACATGCTGCCGCCCCCACGTTGACAGCTGCGGTGGAGTAAGGAGCAGAATTGCTGACGGATTCATGACCATGTGAGGAAAAGGAGTAAAACGGCGTAGAGCTGAGTAGAGGATCGGCATGCAGGTTGCCCGGAGAATATTGAGTGACCAGAGGAGCACTTGGAGCTTGAGCACCGTAGCCAAGGCAGGGTCTGCCACTGTCTTCGCATCTCTTGCATCCGGCATTGCTCGAAAGCGGGCCGGCGTAAGCCACAGTCTCCGGGTTCCGGCCGCGTTCATCGCATTTTACTTTGCGCCGGCGACAAGTCCTACAGATCATCAAGAGAAGAGAAACGTAAACAGATACCGATTGTTCGCATCAGCTGCATATACTTCTCAAATTCAAAACGATGCTATCTGCCCACCAGCATCCTGTGCGCGACCTGAATCTGGGTTTGGCTGTGGCGGCCGGAGGTGCTTTGGTTGAGCTCACGGCAATTACGCTTGGGCTGCCGCTATTCCTAACTTGGCCAGAATGACTGGTTGAAGCCATGCGTTTGGGAGATATAGACAGACAGCCAAGCTGGCAGTGGGAGCTTGGCAAGATGGTAAAGGTAAGGTTTGGAACTAAAGTGTCTGAATTCGAGCAGCTAAACCTCGAGACGCAAGCGGCAATGATCTCTTTCTGTATGAATTAATTCACAAAATTAGTTAGACTTGAAATTAGACTGATAGCCCGTGACGAACAAACGGCTCTTGTGTCCATGAGCAAGAAGCTTGTGAAACAAGAACCAAGTCTACTACTGCCTGGAAGCTAAGGAAGGATAGTGCTCATGAGCATTTCGAATATACGTACAGTCTAGCGGGAAAATATTATATATATAACTGGACAATTTGGCGGGCCAGTCTTCGATACCTAGCCTTCCGCTCGTAAGAAGGCCTCTTTCTTTGCGGTTTGATTGTTTGATTACAAGCTCGATCGTATTCAGATCAAACCCATTTACGTCGACGGAGTAAGTGAAAAGGTGATTCAGTAATAGGCGGGACGAGTCGGTTGTGATCGATTGTGATAATCAGATTATCTATATGCGTTCTCCCAAAAGCGAATGAAGGCACAAATACAAGAATTCGATCCAGACTAAATTTTATTGCAGACCGCTCCTCAACTGATGGTTTCTAAACAGAAGAAGAAGGACTGTGTTAGCTGTCACCACTTCGCTTGTGGGGTAAGTGTCTCGGCTATTTGCGCAACTCACATTAGAAGCTGCTCGGGACGAGAAAGACGAACCAAGACTTGCCGGATAATTATTCAGGTTATCAATTTGGTGCTCTCTTTCCTCCACTTCTCAATACTGCAGATGAGGAGTGTCAAAGTCAAGCTATTAGCGACTGTGTGATTGTATTGGAAATGTGATGATGTACCACGAGGATCGGCAGCAGATGTTGATAGACAAAAGTTGCTCACTAACTTATGATGGTGAAAGCAATGGGGGGAGGACTCGCCTAATAGATACAAACGAATAAGCGAGTAGAAGTCTCCGTTGGCGCCAGGTGTGGATAGTGTAAGGCTAGCCTGAGTATAAGAATTGTGAAAAAAAGAGCTAGTTTTTTCTTCGTCGCAAGTAAATTGGCCTGGAACCCCAGCAGCATAAGACTCGGACAAGGAATCCAGAGGGGGGGATCACGCTATCGAGCTGGTCAAGATTAGACAAGAGAAACGTGTGGTAGCAAAGAAATTTTCACAAAATGTGACCGGTGCCAAGCAAGGTTTGGAGGAAGCGGGCGAGATGGCAAGGATTAGGCGGTCGAGTATGGCTCGTCGTCTGACGTTCACTATCAATTCCAACGAGAAAAAAAAAAACGTCAAAACGAAGTAGATTAGAACAAGTTCTCTAAGTCCAGGCTGGATGTCTGTGTGTGTGTGTGTGCACCGAAATCAATATGCAGCGGGGTGGATCAATCCGCCAGTTATCAACTCCCACCTTTGACAATGGAAGAAGTGACTATGTGTGTATCTGTGTTTAAGACTAAGTTATTGTTGTTGTTGTCGTGGTGGATGATGGGTAAGAAAGCATGTATGATTTGGAAGAGGGGCAGCTCTGACGGAGGGAGGAGCGCACAGCGCTCATTAAACAAAACCGCTCGTAAATTTAAATGATGCCGTTGAGCTTGCAGCAAACAACTGAGAGAAAAGAAATCGAGCGTAAAAGATTGGTGATTATAGTCTGTCTGTGAGTTTGTCCAAGGAGCTTGAAATGATTGTAAATAAAGATGTGATGCTATATATTGATTTATGTAAGAGGATGAAGAAAACAAGGGCTAACAGCTATGTTTTAATATGTAAAATATGCAGTCCTTGAGGGCACGGAGTACATATTATATATCTCCAATCGCCGTGATGAAGCAAAGTATGAGTCTTCCTCAGAGTCTGGTAAGATCTGGTGTCTAGTGCACCTCAAACATAAGTATTAAATATGTGCTTGGGTCACTCCGATTTTATTCGCACTAAGAGCGCACACCGGTCTGTTGGGACGGGGAGATTTGTTGAAGAGATTTCTCCTTGTATCTCGAGTTGAGGATTGAAGGGGATCCACCGCTCAAGTGCCGCCGCACGCTGGAATCGGATGCGGAATTTGGACCACACACTCATCTACAATCATCAGCGCCCGGAAGCAGCCTGCCACAGACTATAAGCTGCAGTGCAACCAGCGTGTGAGACGTAGGTTCGCTGATGTAGTAGCTCGAGCTGAGCTGGGACGCCAATAGATCTGGTATTTTGATCACGATATGTATCCACAGGATGTTCACCGGTTTGAGCCTTGGCCATACGAACTCCGATCCCGTCTCCTTCATTTAGATGTCCAGTCGGTGTGGTCATTGGTGATAGAACATCTGTGGCATTATGTTTACTGATCCGGATCGCACTCAGCTTAGCATATAATGTTTGGGGGGTAAGACCCTCCCAAGTACTGCGTTCTCTCCGCCGTTTTCTTCGTCATGGACATTTGTACGTATCACGTTCACGTATCTCTCTGAGTTACATAGCCAACCTCACATTCTCAGTTTTGGAGTATATATGCCTCCAGTTACAGCTTTCCGGACGGCAGGAAGAAGCGGGTGCTCCATGCCGGGTGTACCAGCAATAGAGATCGACAGGCAAATTTATGTATGTATTTACATACTTCACCCTTAAATACCTGGACAAGATGGCGTACTAGATGCTCACCAGTCCGCCCCAGTCGGACTGGGGCCGCATTAATGGACAATTGATGAGACGTTCAGCAGCCAGGCTCAGGTGATGTCGTGTGGGTGATACCCATAGCATGCAATCCTAATCACTAGAGAGCATCTATGCAACCAGGCCAAGCTCTGTACAATTTCTAGCTTTTACCCGTCTCTGGATGCATAAAAGCAACATAAAGCCGATTGGATTTGGAGGCCAAACACACCCTGCTGCAACACTTACAATTCAGGAATGCAATGCACATGCAATCTAAATATTTATGTCTTAACACAGAGTCCCTGATCAGAAGCTATTCGAAGCCACCTCCTTGATCCAGGACTTTAATCCTTATGTCCCACAGTCTCCACTTTCCGCGTGACGATTATGTAGGTGGACTATTTCAAGGCTGAGGGAGACGTTCGGTTTCGGTGTCTGTACATAATCCATCATCATTCTATCCTATATCTTCCATGAGGTTGTGGGTTTTTATGTTAGATATATTACGTGAACATCATGCCTGAGGAAAGTGTCTAACTTTGAGGGCCTACAGACTACCAGTGGATAGTATGATCTGGCAAAAAGTGTTGGGAGGTTGTGGTAAAGGATACTACTAAACCATCAGACGTAGAGCAAAATCCCCAATACCAAGGACCAATGCCCCATGAGATACTTTGCCCTCATAAATATGAGATACCAATACGCTGGGTGGTCACATTCGATGCCAATCTCATCAACAGAGCACTATTTCCAACTATATATACTTTAAAATTTTGCCTCCAAGCAATCATGCTGCCCATGCGATTTTAGGTCTATGGGAGACTTTTTCATTTATTTCAACTGGTACTGATAGTAAGATTTTGATTGTCTTGAAAGTAAACATAATCATGTTGATGATACTTACAGCAAGGATAACATTGGCGGGTCTTATGATCGTTGCAACTAATGAAAAATGATCAGCTCACTGAAGTTGCGAAGTTGACATTCACATGGAAACAAGTTGTCTGTTTTGTTTATCTGCACCAGCGAAGTTATCCGAATCTACTACCTCACAAAACAACGAAGCAAAATGACTGAGAAGGCGATTATCCTGATGTGTAGTTCAGCGACAGGCAGAGTGAATTTTGATAAACATTGCTGAGAAATTGAGAGCTACATGACTCTATGAGCAGGGATATGTAGACTTGAAATCTGAAAGCGTGAAAATGAGACTCCAGATCAACGACTGGTCAAGTACGACAGTCAACCGGCTGTCGCGAAACACTTTGATCTGACTAAAAAAAAATAAGTGTCGCTTATTTTTGTGTTGATTTCATTTTACTAGACCAGGGAAGGGAAAGTTAAACACGAGTTGGGAATAACCAAAAAAAAAAAAAACAAGACCATGTTTATCAATGGAGAATGTATTATTATTGTCACAAAATGAATGTTTCTTTTCGAAGAATTTATGGAAGAAGAACGTTCAAAGATCGATCGCGTTTTTGTTTTCTCTAAGTGTCTCTGGCCCCTAGGGTTTATCTGTTCCAAGGTACCTACATCACAAGATCAAATGGAAATTTTATCAAAAAAATAAGGATACAGACAATAGACGAATCTTTGCAGATTGAGTATTTGAAGTCAAGAACTTACCCTGGTTGAGGAACAACAGGCTCTCCGTCTCGATCCATTGCCTCCTCCTCGGCCAGAAAGCGCTCACATTCCAAGGCAGCGATGCATCCAGTTCCCGCGCTAGTGATTGCCTGGCGGTACTTTTTGTCTTGGACGTCTCCGGCTGCGAAGACTCCAGGGATGCTGGTCTCGGATGTGCCGGGCTTGGTGCAGATGTACCCATCCTCATCCGTCTTCAGCTGGCCCCGAACTAATGCTGTCGCCGGCTCGTGGCCAATCGCATAGAACAAACCGTTGATATCTATCGTCCGTTCCTCCCCTGTTTTGGTGTCTTTGACTAGCAGGGAGTTCAGCAAGTTTCCGTCCCCTTTGGCCTCCACTGGAACTGTGTTCCAAAGGATCGTAACCTAAAAGAAAGGGGACATTAAGTGTTAATGGAAGAGCCATATGCAATGACGGACATCATGATGTAGAGCTTTTTGAGGTAATTAATCAAGTGCTTGCCTTGGGATGATTCATTAAACGCTTGGCCATAACTTTACTAGCTCTTAACTGGTCTCTTCTGACCAGTACGAAGACCTTACTGGCGTACTTAGTCAGGTAGGTAGCTTCTTCACAAGCACTATCACCCCCACCTATTACGGCCAGCGGTTTATCACGAAAGATCGGCACCGCCCCGTCACAGACTGCACAGGCCGAAATGCCGGACTGCCAGTAGGTATCCTCTCCAGGTAAATTCAAACGACGAGCTGAGGCCCCCGTCGCGATGATGATCGAATCCGCCGTCTCTGACTCGTCTGATTCATGACCTTCGCGCCAGTATTTGAAAGGCCGATTGGATAGATCGATCTTCGATACCGTTTCGGTCAAGATCTTTGTGCCGAATCGGATCGATTGTGCTCGGAATAGATCCATCATCTCTGGGCCGCGAATGCCCTCTGGGAATCCAGGGCTGGAAAATCGAAGATAATCATCCTTGTTAATATAGTGGCGCTGGATTTTCTAGAAGCCATAGAAAGATTATGATAGAGAGATAGAAACGAGAGAGAGGGGGGGGGGGGGGAGTCTGACAAATTTTCAACATCAGTGGTTGTGGTTAATTGACCACCAGGTGCGAATCCATTTGCCAGCATGCCCTCAAACATGACAGGCTCCAGGTTGGCACGGGCGAGGTAAATGGCAGCGGTATGGCCGGCCGGACCTGAACCAATGATGACGACCTGTGTGAAGAGAACAAAGAACGACGTTAGTTCCAGAGTTAAGCGGTGCCATCCATCCATCCAAACAAACAAAAAGATACTCAAGATAACGCTCACCTTGTTGTGCGATTTACCGTTGGGGTTGGTAGATCCCTCAGCGGCGGAGGTCGTGGGTGCCATGATGGTGGTGGTGGTTGACAGCTTGAAGGGTTCGAGAGAATCGAGACTATGTATGCGAATATGTCGAGCCAGCCAATTCACCCCACACACACGCGCTTGGGCCTGGAGTGTCTCTGCTGTGCTGCGATCGACTGTCTGTAGACCGTGAACGTCCGGTGAACCCCGACATGTCACGCGGACCAAGCTTCATTAACCGGTGGGGTTCCCAACTGCCCCCAGGTATAACCTTCATGAACAAACACGTCATGAAATATTGAAGTAAACAAGAATCATCTACCAGTGGACTAGACTGGGTTTCATTCCAATTGATCCAGAAAATAGTAAAAGGGGACAATGAAAAATTGAAAACCGGGTTCTGGGAATATATGCAAATAAAAACTGATCAGGATCAATGGCTAAGTGGAAAAGAAAAACTATCAACAAGAGTTAAATTTTCATTATTTTATCTTCGAGAAGAAATGATGGGGAATGTGGTTTCAGACGAGAGCATCTGCGGAAGATATGGACTTCAAATCCTAGGCTCATGAGTACCCAACCACAAAGAAATGAAGATTGATAGAACATTAAACGTTTTCTGGAGCAATTACAGCAGGTGAATATAAGTAGTAGCACTTTTCGGTATCTATGAGATGACCTGTCTAGCGATTAACTTTGCTAGAATTTTTGGAACAAAAAAAAATCGAAGCATTAGTTATAGGCTACTAGCAAATCAGTGCCAGGTCTCACTGAGAGAGCTCGAGGTTTATCATACCTTCAGAGAGTGCATTTGTAAAGCCATCCGAAAATTCGGAAATGGGAATGTTCTGATACCAATGAGGTCGACGGGGCAAGAAGTTGGGACCTTCATCCACCTGTAAGGAAGCAAATCGTGGAGTGTCCTTCATTGCAAGGAATCTGATGAGTTGATCTTGACTTATCAATTCATGCTCGTAGAGTAGCTCAACCGTTCTGAATATAATCCGTTGGAAAAGCAAGGCTTCGATGGGCCCAATGTGTGTCCTACTGATTTCTAGTGCAGGTTCAATCTTTATTATTTCATGCAGCATAGTGTTCAATTCTGCGAGCCACCCCCAAGTCAAGAAACTGATAATGTTGTCTACTACGTCCCCTCTTAATTGTACTGTCTCAGTATGAGCTGAAATGCTTTCACCTTCTTCGGTAGGAACGTCCACCTTAGACCTCCTTTGTGACGTCTTACCGAAGCCCACCTCATCGCATCGGTAAGGCATACTTCTAAAAGGCGCGCGAAAGAAGTGGGCCAAGTTACTTTACAAAAAAAAAAACAAGTTGATTTGAAAGAAAGAAGACGCACTTGATTCTTGTCAAAAAGGCTTTTCCGATCTGTCTTATAGATTTCAAAAGTTCCCGTTGCTCAAGATTTTCAACTGTTTCAAATGGCTCGAGACTTACTCCCTTATCTGCTAACTTGAATAATCGATCTGGTGAAGTTGGTATGGTTTTGAGAATCTGTTGCAGTTTTGCAACATCTTTGATCCACTGTTTAAGTTGCTTCTTCATATCGACTCGACCTCTTTTCGCCCACAATGGGTCGATGGAGGCGCTCATCCTTTGTGTTGCCCTCTTGAACTCCTTGAGGTCTCTCTGCAAAGCTTTAAACTCAAGCTTCATCATTCCCTCACCTGTGAAATATCATCAAGTTAGAGATCAAGACAAAGCATTTCAATTGATGAAATCCACAATTCATACTTTCTTCCGAATCCGCAGAGTTTTCAAGCGCTAAATCTGTGTGGGGAACTGTTTCCTGTCTGTTAGACTCCATGCCAGTCCTCATCCGGCGACTAGATCCTTGCTGCGCGAATTGAATAATCGGACTGTGAGTACCGGTGCGAGTCCCGCTGTCTCTGCCAGTGCCAAAGCCGTGACTTACCACTTCGTCCAGTGCGAGTCGACCATCATAAGCACTTTCCAGTGCCCGATCATAGCTTCTCTTTTTCAAAAGGCGCGCGGGGTGAATAAAGAACTCTTCGGCCCTGAGACTCGCGCTGTCTTTGTTGCTCGGATGGCCTTGTCTAATCATAGAAAACTCATGATTGGGCATGGCTAAAAGTGGGTTTGCGAGTTGGAGGGTGGTGTCAGTTCGTGAGATGATCAGTGTTCCACACATGTGGAGGAACTTGAAAAAAACGAAATTCAAGAACTTCATGTGCACGTTTTGCATACTGATCCAATCCAGGCGCACGCGTCACCAATGTCCTAGTCTGAGCCAGATAGCTAGCAGCTTGTAAACAAATCAAAGCAATAAGTCTTGCTTGTTGACGCCTCGATTGCATCGTTTTTGCTGCAAGTGGGAGCCGAGGGGCGTTGATACGTTGCAACCTTATGGTTTGTATCTGTTTCTATAATGTGCTTGTAGCCGCTCCGATGGGGTTTCTGATTGTTGAGAATCAAGCCTGGAGGAAAGATTCAACACGAATGAGGTGCAAAAGTCTGGCGACGGGAACGGCTCCTCACTAGTTAAGCACAGGTCAATGTACCCTGATCAAGCTGAGACAAGGCAAATGTAACAAGCATTCTTTAAACCGAAACGCGGATCTTTCGCCGGAGGGGCCCAAACGGAAACCCCGAACTCAAGCAAGTCCCAACTTTTTTAGCACCAGACAACCACGGAAGAAACGAGCCCTCGATCTAATGGAGAGACTTGTTAGAGTTCGTTTTTTCAGGCCCCTGTGGGGCTTATGTGTGGATTTAGAAAGGATGCGAGGTGACATCGCATGTGACATGCGATGTTACCGCGCATTTTCACAGTGCGTTCCAACAGTTTTTGAAGTGAGGAGTGTACATAGCACCTTCCATGAGTATGATCAAGTCAAAACGGATCTACGAGAAGCAATTTCCTCACGAAAATTCGTAGATCTTAATTTTTTGGGAGTTATCTAGATTTGGCGGCCGCAAGCAGCGCTGGAGGTTTGTTCTGTTTCAGTCCATGGTGACTGCTGTCATTTGAAGTACGCGCCTGTGATTAGTATTTCAGAATTCTGCCAAGTAAAGCACTTGATATGTAACCCACAATTTGAATCAAATTGTGACGTGTGCAACCGAGTTGTGCTTGTCCCCCTAGAGGCTGAAGGCGAGGCACACCAGGCTGAGCCGGTTGTTGATGCGAAGCGGCTGGTTTAAATGGTGCTCTGATTAGCTTCTGGCAAATAGAGGTCGTGCCGAAGTGAGCCACGTTCCCTCGCAGGAGGGAGCAAGTTAAGTTGGGGTGTGTGCGTAGCAGGCGGGACCTTGAACTACCTAGCATTCGCCACAAAGAATTTGATCCACAAAAGGAGAACAAAATCCCTATGCTTTCTTCATGCTTATGTGGTTAATACTAAACTTAAATTTACAAAGAGGATATTCAAACCAAGGAAGTTTTACAAGTTGAAGACATGAATTGAAAGAAGTGCTTGGGTTTCAACCTGTTTTAACCGCTTCAGACGAATCATCACTCATGTATATATTTATTAGTGTAGAGAAAATCTAACGACGTTGTCACTCAAGGCAATTGCAGCTTAGCACTAAAGTGAAAATGTTTGCGAATGCTCCGTGTAGCCCCTTTTTGCTGAATAGCCAATATTAATACTTCTTTTTTTTGCCATCCCCGTCTTCCGGCCGTATTGTGAGACTTGCGTAACTCGTGTCCGAAAGAAGCTACAACCTAAAGTGGGCGAGGCTCTTTAAGCCATTCAAACCAAATGTGTGTAGCTCGAAAGCATAGGACTCACGATAAATTCCTTTTCATCTCGTTTCCAAAATCTTAAGAATTATGAGATCAAGATAGCTTTTTCTTCAATATTTTCTTCCACTGCTACTTGGACCTGGTGGGTAACTTGCACGCGCGCTCTCGTTTGTGGTCGCCTCGAAGCACGTTTATCACCGGAGGGTCGAGCGAATGTGGGGCCAAAGGAATCCGCCTGGAAGCTTCTACTGCTGCTTATATTTCCCATCGAAGCCACACAAGAGTCGTATTGCTGCGTTGCGAAAAACGAGGCTTCCTGAAAGCTGCAAACTTGAAGCGTGAAAAGAACGGTTTGAAGATCGGTTAAGTGAGATTCTTGAAGCCTTAGTCCACTGTCCAGAAAAAAGCTTGATGCACTGACAAAATGAAATCAGATAGATTCTGGGAAGTAAACCGTTCAGTATGAACCCAGCGGTCTGGCAAATCATTTCAGCTTTGAAGGAAAAATTGGGTATCATGTGTGGCACTAGTGTTTTGGGGAGCAGTGCCTGGACATCAATATATGTTATGATTGTATGCTTCAAGCCAAAGATAAATTGCACACATATTGTTGCTATGAGAGAAAGCATGGCCGCGAGATAAGTTAAAGAGAATGTGCTACAGAAGGAACCAACAAGTTAGTAAGGTGCTCAACCAAAAAGTCAAAGTCACACGATCCATCAGGTATCAGAACTACACTACTCACTTGATGATAATATTCATTAATCTAGTTAGTGTGGTCCTTAGGGACTTCTGCTTGATAGAGGCTCGGCCATGATACAACGCCTTTACCATCGCAAATGTGATAGCACCATCCATAAACCCATTGCATCCCAACCAAACTACGTTAAAAAACAGCAATTGTCCACGAATGACAAGCGGTGTTGCGGAGCTGAAACCGCTGTGGAGGAAATGTCTGATATACCCAATAGATGTTCCCAAACCTCCTACGCAGGCTCCGATGCAAAACAGGCGAAGTGGAATGGTCCACCTCTTGGAAAAGGCAGCCGTGGCGTATGCGAGACGAAGGAAGTGATACCTGCGGTGTGACCTCGATTTGATGAGCATTCACATTCTTTTGTGTTCGGATTAACTCAGGATCGATAGTCTCAATGAAAGATGCGAAGTTAAAATTCTCACTGTACAACGAATATTATTCCTACTGCAAAGCCGATTTGCAAAGCCTCATAGAGAAAATACGTATATGGCCTCCCGCTTGTGTAATACTGAAAAGAGTGAAAAAGGCACTGCTTCAAGTATTTATCGCAACTTGTGAGTAAAAATGACATGGCTGGTAGAGATATGAATCGATAACTTGAAACAGCTGACCCATAGATCTACAACGACTTGTCCCAAATGAAGTATTATTGCAACAGTTCCCAAGCGAAGTGACAATTGCGACTTGCGGGCGGCTTGTCGAGAGAAGAATTTGCCATACTGAAGAAAAACTATTCCACTGATAAACTGCATCATAGGCTAATTCGAGAAACGAAGGAAGAAGTCCGAATAATCAAATTAGCCAGTGACGAGTCAAGACAGAGTGTTCAAGCTAATCACTTACAACAAAATAGCAAGCAGCATTAACACTTGCTATTACCTGGACGCTGGTGGCCTGTGGGCCAAGATTGAAAGTTTCCATGAGCCTTACTTGGTAGTCTTCTCAAAACGAATAACTCGATGAGTGCAAAGACTGTCAGATGCGAAACTCGTCGCCAACAAATTTCAAGGCAGAGAATCTTTATGCAAGGCCACTACCATTATGTTGAGTGACTACAGCACAGCCGGTGTTCCAGATGAGCGTGACAAGTTGGATAGTGGTACCGAGCGAAGGATTATCTGGGTACGAATAAACGCGGACAATCGACGCTTGGTCCCAGAGATCGCTATTACGATTGGATCTCACCCCCAGCTAGACTTGATTAATTGATCTGATTTCTTTCACCTTCAAAGCCATGAGCTAGGGGATGCACACAAACAGCTATGCTAGATTCCTCAAAACTCAGTAGGTTCTGGGATCGGATAGACGCCGCATGGGCGAGTTGGCTTGAACATGAAGCATCACGTTGAGCTCAATTCCGGGATGGCAACACTCAGGTTCAAATTGGGTTTAGCGAAAGCGTCAACCAATCAATCTCAGTGGCGCGTCAAATCTGTTCTAACAGGGATGTTACAGGTCACCAACTCGCCGCAGTACGGCACCTAGAATACCTCCGGACCAGCCCAGTACGAAGGTAGACTCCTCACTTCTGAGTAATTACACACTCATTCTCTGCCGTAGCTTCTACAAAACCTAACTTAGCTAAGTCCCCCTTCGTCGCGAAGCCACCCTCCGAAGGAGGGACTTACGGGCTATGTCGCCCCCGCCGCCCATGAGGATTAGGCATTTGGCTGGGGGAAATTTTAAAACTCAACCCACTCACTCATTCATGAACGTTTTTCCCCTGGGTTTGACCGGCATGGAGGCGGCACTGATGCGCATCTGCTCACACTTACCGCTTCCCTTCACCCCTCATGGTTGGAGCTCTCTGCTTCAATTTGTGTTTTGGTCACTCTGGAATATGTGTTATGACATCGGCTCATAGTCCTGAGTCTTCCATGCAAGCAAACTGTATCAGTCAAAGTACATATCAACAGACCTGTTATTATGGGACAAGCAGCAGAATTCACCTCTGTATTCTATTGAGCTGCTTTTGTATGTGACCTGTGGCAGTCCATACAGGATGGCCATGAAAAAGGAAAACATTGGACACAAATTTAAAGGTTTGGCTGAAAAATCCCCCTGGACCTCTACGACCTGGTGAAGGGCTCGGTTTGATTCTCACAGATGTGCCGCTTCTTTTGGTGGGCAACTTGCTAGGAATTGGGTGTGTCAAGATGCCTGTGGATACCTTTGAAAAAAAAGCAACTTTTTCCAAGTCCTCATAGGCCAGCAGGGCGACATAGCGCATAAGTCCCTTGGAGGGTCCCTGCGGGACAGCGTCCCCCCTCCAAATAGAGAGGGACTTAGTTAAGTTAGCTACAAAACCCACCTCTACTCTCAGCTCATTCCTGTACCATACCTTAGGATTGTCCTAATGAAATGTTGAAGCAAGTATGATGTTGAGCTCTGAGAACAACGAATCTGTGCTGGTCTTACAAGAACAAAAAATGGATCAAGCTTAACACATTACACCTCCCCTTCCATAAAAACAACTATGAGTCAGTTATACTAAAGGTAGTATTGTAATGTAGTGAAATTCTGCAAAGATTTAGTGTAGCGCAGTGGGGTTCTGCCACATCTGCACCAAGGCTACGCGCGCAGGCCACAAAAAAATGGGTCCACTATGCTGCACTACAGCACATTTTAGCAGGTTTTTGGCCTTTTTTGCCACTATGTAGAATTGGAGTGTAGTGGCACTAACAGTGTTCTAAAGGCTGCTACACTAACAGTAGTGGGCCCTTTAAGTTTAAAGTGTAGTGAAGTGTATGTAGCATTGTGGCCCATCACTGATAAAAACTAGTCAAACATTGAAAATCATAACTATTCTCCTTCAGAATTTTGTGACAAACACTGGAAGTGCCTGACTGTATACAAGAAACATAAATCAGAAGGATTTTACCCAATTTCTGTAGAATCACGCCCCCTATCCATATGTATACTAACAGGGTATTTTGATTTTGATCAATTTTGAAGATTTTGAAAAGATGATCTAAAAAACACAGCACTAAGAATTACCTGCAAAAAATTAATGACTGCTATGGACTCTAAAAGTTGTGAAAAGATATACATAGAATCCTGCTCATTTTTTTCACTCTTTTCGAGCATCAAAATGAATTACTAGAAATTAAGGTGACTACATTGCTGTACTTTCAGGTTTAATTCATTGTCAAACTTAATGTGCAATCCATGAATCAAGATCATCATTTCACATAATCTGTGTCAGCCTTAGAGATCCTGCAGAGTATCTAAAAGACTGCTTAATGATAAATCAAATGTAATAATCCTCTTTAATAGGGGGTATCAAATATAACCAAATCCACCATTATTTAATTGACTGGTTTGAAAAAATCCACCCTTTTTTAAACATGTTGGTTCTTCATTTAACCCCTTTTGGGGCCCATTGATGCAAAAAAATATTTTTAAAAAAGTGACTGGTTTCTAATGGTGGATTTCCTATATTTGATACCCCCTAATACTAAGAAAACCTAGAACATTATTTCAGAAATGAACTTTTCATGACATTCTAAATGGGGTTGCTCACTGTAAGCCCCGCCAAAATTATACTCCTCCTAGGACTTTTTCATAACCCAAGAGCCTTGGAGGTTAGTAGCAACGCTGTAACAGATATGATACACTGTGTGTATCATGAAGAATTCTGCAAAGCTGCATGGCCAAAAACCAAATTTGTTGTTGAATCTCCTTGCAAAAAAAGCAGATTGGTCAGATAGTTTTTTTATTGGGGCTCAGATACATAGTGATACATGGCAGATACATGGCAGATACCATATCTGTTTCAGCATTGTTAATAGGAATAAAAATATAAAATACACCAAGAGATTATAAAATAAAGGCAAAAATAAATATTAAATACATATTCATATCTACAAGTGAAGAAAATAATTCAACTTGTAGAAATTACTACTCTTTTTCCAGTGTGTGGTAATTTCCATTCTATTTCAGGTAAGCACATGATGTAATTGGCTGTAACAATGTATCAAAAAGATAATGAGCTTCTTGGATTTGGTGGGCAGGGCCTTGATTCAACCGCAAGGCATTTGAAACAATGTTGAATTGATGACTAAAAACCAGAACCAGACTAGAAGCAAAAAAGGGTCAGAAAACAAGAACAGAAAAGAAGGAGAAACAAGATAGAAACAAGATGAATGGCATACCACTCATGATGGAAAAAGCAGATAAGAAGTGAGGAATTTAAGCAGAAGCAAGGAAGTAAAGGATAGATATAATCAGACTGAAAAGAAAAAAGAACAGTATCATCCCAAACAGCTAATTCTCTTAAAACTGGAAATTTTTACCATAATTCTGTTCTGTAGTGTGAAGGGTACCATTGTTTACCTGAAGTCTTGGAGCCCCTACCTTTGAAACTACTCCTTGACCTCTTCCTTTTATACCCGCAGACCCACTCCACCTTTCATCTCATTTCAATTTTTTTTTCCTGATTCAAAACAAATTACTTTTCCTAAAATAGAATCCTTCCCCGCTGCACATTTTGTTCTTTGTACCAGAAAATCACTTTTCCTAAAATATATTCCTTTCTTGTTGAATATGGTTCAAAATTTCTAATTGAGTGATGCATTTCATCAGGGCAGTTACCCCACAATAGGATGGGCTTGCGCTTCCCATCTGTCAGCATCTGGTGGTTGAGCGCATTTGGACCTGGGGACCTCCACCTGACCAATTTGGTGCAAAGCAGACCAAGTTTCTTGACTTGTATACTTTGATTGACTTATTCTCAGATATAATTGCGGAACTCACGATTGAAGTCACATATTTTTCCACACTTCCATCAGCTACAATTGAATGTATAGGGCGCTTGAAGAGATTGTGTGCTCTGAGAATTAGGATCCGGTTCTCATCAAAGAAAAAACACATGAGAGGACTAGACTTCAAATCCAATCAAATCCCAGGCGGGTTGCCTACCAATTCCAAATGCCTGTGCAAGTTGCTAAAAGCAGCTCAACAATGTGGTAACCCATACCTTTCCATAGCCCCTATTATTTCACTGTATATTCACTTGATTTTCCTTTATTATTATTACATATTCAGATTCTACACCCCATTTTACATATAGTCACTCACTCAAGCCATATTTCATTTCTTACTGGATCAATAGTTATTTTAATTCTTAGCTTTACAGATGTTTTTTCTTTACATTTAAATTAAACAGTAGCTACATATAGTTCATATTTACAGATTGATTCATACATCATATATTTCTCAAGTACTTTCATTCAAAATTATTTGTTCTCATTGCATCAGTCACATTCTTTACAGTAGTTGTTTCTCATTAAACATATCAGATATTTTCTCAGATACTTTCTTTACACTCATTATTTCACATGTACCCTTCAGGATAACAGTAGTACACTCTTTCACAGCCCTTCTCCTCTTTGGGTTTCTTCCCCTTTACTCATCCTTTTTTTCTGTTTACATTTCTCATCTCATATTTCTACATATGTACATTTCTTTCTCATAACCAGAATTGCCACAGTCTGTGCTCATATGTATCTTAGAGTATATAAGTAGTCCCTCTTACACTTGTACCCCCCATACATATATATAGACATAACAGAAAAAGATACATAAAAAGATACATGCACATATACATAGAGATACATATACCATACAACAACATACATACAACAATCAATGCATAATTTGCCAGACATAATTTAGTCATATTTTCTTTCCCCCTCTTTTTGCATATTTTGCCCCTTAGTGACGCCTTGCATACTTTGCACTCATTCCTCAGAAGACTTGCATATTTTGCACCTTATCCTTTGACCACCTCTGCATATTTTGCTCATACCCTTTGAACCTTAATCATCACTCCACAATCCTCCTTCCTCAACACTCCTCATACACCCTGTGGTATTATCACTAGACCTTGATAACACAACTCCCTGTCCTAGACCTCACTAAGAATTACTAGAATCCACACCACACTCTTCTTCTTTTTATTAGTGTAACTCTTCCCAACTCCAGCATTGAACAG